GTTAGTTCTACNTTTCCCCCTTCCCCCCCCCCCCCACCCTTCCCCTGTTTACTATCCGGTACCCTGGGTATTCATGGCCACCAGCGGCTATACATGTATAAGTCTACTTTTGTGGTGTCGTCGAAAATAAAAGCAAAGGCGAGAGAGGAGGAGAGAGAATGGATGGCGACGGGGTCAGGAAGGTCCACGTTTTGCTGCTTTCTATCGTGGGCCATGATGGGTAGATATTTGGAGTCGGGGGCGTTGATTTTTTATTCCTGTCAAAAACTACATGGAGCAAAGGAACGCAACAAGACCCTTATGGTTCTTATTTGTTGTTCCTTTGCTCCATTCTCATGGCTTGTTGTATTCATGTTGGAATCATCTCTCTCTTCCACGGCGGCACCTGCACGATCCACACCGCACTCTTTGATGTCAGATGTCATGCGCTTGTTTTGTCTTTTTTCGCCTCTCTTCTCCCCCCTCGAATCGAATCCTCCATTTCCTGCACAAGGAGCCATAAGTGGCCACACCTGCGAAGCCTTTCTTCTTCGCTTGTCTCGATTGTTGACTGGAAGCATGCAACCAACGGGGTTTTCGTTGGCTCCACGCGCTCACAATTCTCAAAACACAAGGGCGACTCCTTTCACGCTGCAATGAGAATCAGGAATAACACAGACTCAGTCATTACTTTTAAAATCCACTCTCTTCATCCTCATTCCGCTTTCTTCATCCTCATGAGGAAGAGTTGGGTGGGCTTCGCTGTGCGCAACCTAGGACTCTACCTAGCTAGCACCTATCAAGAAATGTAGAATGTAGCGCGAGCTCCCAAGCCAGAGCCGCTTCATGCGCGGTCCTGTGGCCAGAAAGCATGTGCCGACCCGCCCACTAGATACATATTATGCATTACCGCGAGATGGTTGCCAGGACTCGAAAGTACAGTGGCCAAACAATATATGGCCAAACAGGCCTTCTGATCGGCTCTTCGCCCCCTTGTAGAAGCTGTGTGTTTTTTTTTTTTTAGCAAAAGACAGGCAGAGGAGCCTCCTCCGTAAACTCATCCTCCCGAGTCTCAAGGTCGGCCTCATCGACGAATAGACCCTCATCCTCGTCCGACTCGAACTCCACCTCCGCCTCATCCTCATCCTCCACATGCGGGACTGGCGACGAGGGCATCATGGCCTCCATTGTGAGCGGGTCGAGGAAGAAGAGCCGGTGTCCCCGATATGTCGTGGCCCAACGGAGGAGAATGATCAGGAGGCGACCGCAGATACGCATGATTCTACCGGCCACGATGAAGCTGAGCTTAATGGTGCCCAGGACGCGCATGAGGGCCAACCAGGGCGTGACAAAGGCGTAGGCAATGGCGTGGAAGACGCCGTGAATGCCCAAAACAAACAGGCTCGCAGCAGCAAAAGCGGCGGTGAGTCCAAAGTCGATGAGAAGGCCAGCAGCCGAATGGGCGAAGCGGGCGCCCAGAATCGTGGCCATGCGAGTCTTGTGGTAGGCGCCGGCGCCCACGAGCTGGCGCTGCGCGCCGTGGCGGACGAGCAGCTCCTCGGCGACTCCAGCCAGGCCCGAGTTCTGTATCTGCTGAGCCGCGTTGCGCGCGCTCTCGATGCGGGAGGAACGTCGCGTGGCAGCGCCGCTGTTGTTGCCACCGCTACGAGCCACATTCTCATCATTCGCGGCACCACCACGACGGCCGCCACGTCCACTGCGACCGGCACCCCGAGTGCCACGGCCTGCTCCCTTTGCTCCACGGCCGCGTCCACGGCCTCGGCCTGCTCCCCTCCGGGAAGGGGTCGCCTGTGACGTGGGCGTGGTGGGAGTCGGCGGGGTGCTATCGATGCCAAACGATGGTGGGGTGGGCAGGCCCCCATAACTGTCGGATTCAGTCTTGTCGCCGTCGAGCCGTCCGGAGCTGTACTAGGACTGCCGGGCGGCCGCGGCTGGGTGTTGGGCAGCAGCAGCAGCAGGTGTAGTGTTGTTGGAGACGCCTCTGGCGGGAGCAGGAGCCGGAGCGGGTGCAGGAGTGGTGGCGGCGATGACTTGATCGACGTCGTCGCGCAGCTCGGGCAGCGCCGTGCGCATCTCGCCAGCCAGGATGTCGCGGAACGACTCATAGGCGTGCAGCTTGCCTCGCATGAGCTGGTTGCCGCGGCGGACGACCTCGACGAACTCGCGCGTGTAGATGTCGGGGTTGCGGCCGTTCTCGACGTACTGGATCAGCTCTGTCGGAACGTGCGGCAGCCGCGTCGAGCTGGCCGTCGAGACAGTGTGGATCTGCTTCAGGGTGTTCGAGAGGGATTTCCTGGGAGGGGAGTCAGCAGGAAGGACGGGTCAAGAGGACTGTGGCGTGTCCATCAGGTTTGGGCAACGCGGTCCGTCCCAGAGAGGGGAACGCTCACAGCTCGTTGGCGACGACTTCCTTGCTGGACTGCCCTCCGACATTGTCGTACTGCGTCACCTGGACCATGACCTGGTACAGGCCTTGGATGACATCCTTGAGCTGGTCTGCATTGACAGCTTGTTAGCGGCGGCGGACAGGCCATTTCCGAGAGAGGCGCAGGGCTTGCCTTCGACTTCGTCGATGCTCTGCAGACTGGCTCCTTCAGTGCGCGCCATCGTGATGGACACGGCTTGAATTCTCTGGTCGGTATTGAGAGCAACAGGCGAAGAGGGAGAGACGAGCTGTGGCGACAGTGTTGGCGTCCTGGCAATCGAAGCGAGGCCAGCCAGTAGGTGGGAGGTAGAGGTAGGTATCGACAGCCACGATCGCGTGCGGATTGGAGTTGGTCTGGAGCTTCCCTAAATGGATGGCTGGGAGGGGTTTCTCCGACCATTCATGGCGACGCCCTGACGTCGCCTGCAAAGTGGGCCCGCCCTGCCGAGAGTTCAGCGGCTCAAAGCCAAGGTCAGTCTACTGACGTCTCGAATACAATCAGAGCAGGGAGAGCAAGATTCAAGCAGTCACGACATCCACTGCAGCGGTTAGGGAAGATGCACCGAGCCAACACAATTATCAATTTTCCACTGCCCGGTTCAATCCCAATCTCGATGCTAATGTACAATCGTAAGTGCCAACAAATCGTTTATCCCCGAGAGCAGGGATAAAAGAGACGGAAGAAAAGAAACCAGAGACACGCGGCAGACGAAGAAGTCCACTGCCATCCGTCGGCACACATGGGAAGAGCGGCCTGGATCCGCCAACAGTGCCAAACAGATGATGATTCCGCGTGTCCGTCGCCCGGCCCATAGCCAGATAACGTGCACATGGTTCCGGCCTCGGCCGTCATCAAGCACCAGCTCCATCTCTGTCTTGTTCAAAGACATGACTCCGCAAGCCAATCCAAATCCCAATAAACCCACACCCAGCGCCAACCAAACAGTCATGAGCGCAAGCCTCGCGTCTTAGGACAACGAAGCTTACGCCGTAGAGGCGTTACAAGAAGGAGTGAGCCTCGAAAAAAAAAGAAAAAAAAGTGGATGTAAACACAATTCAAGAATGAAAACAGTTTTGGCCGAAAACGGCCGGATACGCCAATGTCAATCGAGACCAGCGGTTGAAAGACATCGCGTGAAAATATTTCTGGGCAATATGTCGTCGACGAGCAAAAAAACAAGGATCCTTGTCTCTGTACGGGCCGCCGTTCGTCCTAGCGGCGCACCTTTGGACGGGCGAGCATGTTCAGCCGGCTAAGGCTAAGCTTCGCTGACCTCTTGATCGGGCTCGGCGACTGAGTCCCGATGCCAGGGATCTGCGACGGCTTCGCAGGGGTGCGTCTAGAGGGAGAGAAGAGTGACCTACGTGCCGTGCTCGCAAAGACACTGCCGGAAGACGCGCTCGTTCCTGCGCGTGGAGCGAGAATCGCCTCCCCTTCAGGCGCGGGCTCGTGACGTCGCTTCTTTGCCGCACGCTCAGCAGGCTCCCCCTCCCCGTCCTCGGGGTCCGCGCTAGCCCGGTGCCTCTTCTTGTTCTCCAGGCCATGCTTGACCGCGGGGAGAAGAATCTGCGGATTGCGGTTCTCCTTGTTGCCGCGACTGCTACCGCTGCTGCTGCCACTGTCGATCCCACCGAACTCGGCGATAGAGGACGGAAAGCTGCCAGGCATCAGGCCCAAGTGCGCAGGCATGATCGAGGGCCTGACATGGCGCACGCTCGACTGTCCCCTCGTCCCACCAAATCCAGTCGGCGACGTACTGTCGAACCGGATAGTGTGGTCGCTCCGAAAGGTGAAAGTACCTGGAACGGTGGGGGCTGGCGCACCCTTAGCGTCCTCAGTAACGGTTTCCTCAGAGGGACCAGCAGCCGGGTTGTCGTCCTTGGACAAGCTGGCCGACAGATCAGGGTATGTGACACCGCCATCGTCGACACCCTTGCCATTTGCCGAGTCCAGGTTGGGGTAACGGACATCGGCCAGGTTGGCAAACGTCTTGGAGCGCGGGATTCCTGATTTCAGGGGAGAGGGCGAGTTCTGGGACACCAGTGCAACTGTAGCCTTCTTGGCATCCGGTGTGAACACGACGCGCTTGATGAGTTTACGCGATGGAGTCGTCGCCGGGACAGCAGGCAAGGGCTTGTCGAGGCTCAGCGCCGAGGGCGTCTTGGACAGCAAGCCAGCAGCCGCCGACGGCATTGGCAGTGCACTCTTGGGTTTGGCAGCGCTGCCAAACCTGTGACCTTTAAGGATGGACTTGACCCGATCGAACCGTCCCGGCGTGCGGACGGGCGCCGCCTCCTTCTGTTCTGTGACGAGGTTGCTCGTGGTAGCAGACTTCTTGAGGCTTCCAGTTGCCGCCAGCCGCATGGAGCCGCCAGTCTGGGTCTTTGGGAGGGCCGACTTGGCCAAGGAAGCCTTGGTTGGCGTCATAAGAGCTGCCAGGTTCGAGTTGGTGTGCGATCGGGGCACACTCGCCGCCGTCGCGCTGTCCTTGCCGGCCGTGGTTGGGCGAGGGATGAAGCTTGCGTCCCTCGAAACCGGACGATTGCTAGAGGCATCATCCTCCAGGTTCTGCCTGACGCGCTTGACGCTAGAGGGGCCGGCGTCGGGAAACAATAGGTTGGGCTTCTTGGCAGCAGAGGCAGGGCCACCACGGGCCGTGGCAGAGGGAGCGGGGATGCCCGAGGCCGCAGAGCGCGCCGACTCGGGATCAGCCAGGTTGGCTTTGGACTGCGTGCGCTTAACACCCCTGGATAGAGGCGTGCCGAACTTGGCCGCAACGGTGGCGGCAGCCTGCTGCTGCTGTTGGGCGCGCAAGGCAGCCGGGTGGTTCTCGATCGAGTCCATCTTCTTGAACTCGGCCATATGGACAGAGCTGAAGCGCCCGGCCTTGCCTTTCGCCTTGGCAATCTTGCGGCCGTTGTTCTCGGCCTCTTCCAGGCTCTCCTGCTCCCGCCTGGCGACAAGGTCGGCCTTGATGCGCATCGCGTCCTCGCGGATCTCGTCCATCATCTGCTGCGCCCGGGCGCTAAGCCCGCTGGTCGCCACCGTCCTGTCTCCGGTGGGACTAGCAACACGGAAGGTGAAGGGCGACGACGGCGGAACGGCCGATTTCGCCGATGGTGTCGCAAAGGGGGCCGGCGCGGCGGTCCGGCCGGCCAGCGCCGGGGTGGGAGAAGAGCGGAAGTCCTTGTCCGAAGGCTTCTTGATATCGGCGAAGCCCAGGTGGAGGGCCGAAGATGGAGGTGCCATGGTGTTGTGGAACTTGCCAGGGTGCATCTCGGACATGGGTGGCTTGACAGGAGATGAGGTCGCAGGGGTCTGGGGAGCAGGAGATGAAGGCACTGGCCGGTTGCTGCTCTTGTCATTCCTCCGAGGGTCCTGGTCCTTGGGACTGGGGCTCTCGTCTCCCTCGGCCACGCGCCCGAGACTTGTCGTCGAGGCAGAGGCTGAAGGCTGTGGATGGATGGCCATGGCCGTCGCGTCAGTATGTTGCTGTTACATGTCGCTGGTGTTGTAGCTATGTCTCCTGGTGGTCTCACCTTGGTCGCGCTCGCCAGTCGCGCTGATCGACGAATGCGCGCCATTTTGGGGTCTGTTCTGTTGGGTTGCTAGAGAAAATCAACGATAGAGTCGGGTGGTTGGGTTGGTGTGGAAGCCGAAAAAGAGAGCGCTCGAGCTGTTGCGGACGCGGCCAGCAGATGATGTCAATTTTTGAGCTCTGCTCAGCTGTGATTTGTTGCGGTGTGTTTTTGTTTACATTCCACGCGGGGGTGCTCCACCAGCAACGGTGGTCTGTGCGGTGGTCTGTGCGGGTCGGGCGTTTTCCTCGTCGGAGAACCGGGCTCCACCCTACCTCCGCAATTGGCCAGTCCAGTAACACCACCTCGGGCCAGACTCCAGCACGAGGCCACCGCACAGCTGTTTGACTCTCGACAGCCACTGACAGCCCAACTCCACAGCCAACATCTCATGTGTTCCTCCTGAGACCACCCGACACCTCCATGGCCTGACCACACAACACCCGCCACATAGGATATGAATGCTTTGTTGTTATGCGCGTGGCGGTGTATGCCTAAATCCATCACCCCTACTTCTGCTTCTTCGCCTCAACAACATGTCCATCTCCGTCTTGCCACCTTGTGTCCCATTGCTGTGGCTAGCCACGCGCTTGGGATGCACTTGTATCGGCCGCGCTCCCTTGCTGCCCCTTTTGTGGAACAGTACTCGAGGAATACATGCATCTGCCCTTTCGGCTTTCTGACTAACGTAACCACTCGAGCACCTGACATTGTGGCAATTGCAGATTGTTGTCTGTCACGTTTTATTTTCCTGGTTCTCTGACAGCACCTGGATACTTGTGCATCTGTGTGGTTGCTTCCTTTGTGACTGTCCAGCAGGTGAACACATGCGGCGGCTGTCATTGATTGACAGCACCGATATTGCCGACCGTCAGACAGTGTCACCACACATCCATCAGTGGATATGAGAAACGTCTATCTGTCCTTGCAACCTGAGTTGCTGCTGACCCTCCAAGTCTCAGGGGATGCTGTTCCTGCATGAGGAGCCACTCGCCCACTCAACCTTTCTTCGGATGAGCCATTTCGCCCTCTTTCATTGCATCTTAACACCTTAGCTTATGGCCTTTCAGAACAAGCATGGCTCTCATGTCCGAGATCATGGTCGCCTCTATTTCCGCCAGAGCTAGGTAGATTTCAGGCCAATGAAACCCTCGAGCCTCACAACCAGGCGTATCACTCGATTTTGTCTACCGCCCCAAAAGAACAAGGACTGTCGATCTCTGCCTGATCAAGACTCGATCGAAGACCAAAGTGACGCGAAATAGCTTCCGGGTTGGGTTTTGTGCAGCAAGCCACACGCCAGGGTTTCGAGATCCCTGAAAAATATCTCAACCGCCCAGGTAATAATTGGGAGCTGAAAAACCCTCCCCCCTCTTGCCGACCAAAACTCAGTGTTCACTGCTCGGGCGAGACAAGACTAGCGGGCTTTGGATCGTCCCTAGAATTTTTCTCGAACACCTCGTGCAGGTGCGGGGGGGTTGCGCTGGCATATCTTGGCGCATGCGAAGAAGCGAAGGAGGGTTGGATTGCGTCCTTCCCACATCCCTTTCACTCAAAGCACCAAGCATTTCCTTGCCCACCCCCCCTCAGCTGCTTGAAGGATTTTCATCACGCATCAGGCCAATCAGGCGCGGCGGACGGCCAAGGCAAGGCGAAGAAGCACAAAAAAAAGGGGGCGTTTGGTGCCAAGGTGGCGGGTGGGGTTTGCATCATGGATTTCTTCATCGTGCTCGTGTGCGACCACCCACCATCATCCATAGGCGCCGTCGACGAAACCTTCTCATGGAGCAGCAACCAAAAGAATGCAGGCCGGGGACTTCTGCACACGCCGGAATCGCCTAATGCGCGGGCATGCGGGCGGGCTCGGTGGTCAGCAGGAGCGGCAGCTGCTTAAAAGGAGGGGGCGCGCGCTTGGCAAATGAGGCTAACCGGTTCTCTGAGATGTTCGCATGTGGGTTGTTGGCTGGCGAATTAGGCGATGGGAGGCACGGCTGCTTGCTGTCGACAAACTGTACAGCTTCGGGACGACGTCGTTTTCCCGACGGAAGTTGCCAGTCTTTATGACCAAAACCCAGGGGCATTAAGACTGAGACCGAGGCGAGACATGGAGCGAGCGCGCTGTGAGGGTTTCGGTCTCCGGCCTCGGCGTCAGCGTCCCATGTAAACCTGGCCGAAGTCATGACGGCGAGCACTACAGAAGAGAGTACCGAAAACACGGTTCCTCCCGGAGCCCCGACATCAGTTGATTGGCCCGGAACGCAATTCCAGGAGCAGAAGTCGGACGCGGCCCTCTGCGCCGTCTGGTTGGCTGGCCGGGGCCTGGGGGCTGGGGGAGGGGGGGTGTGCAGGAGTCTGGCCGCGCTTTGCCTCTGCGGGTAAGACCAGCCGATGGGCGCTGGATCCCAGCATTTCTTGTTGCTGCTGGCCTTGGCTCCTGCACGCGCGCAGCAACATCTCCGCGGAGATGTCCACGCCGGTCCATGTCCTGTGATATTGGCGTCTTTCTGCCCCGCCTCCTCTTTTCGAGGCACCAATGAGTGGGCGGCAGTTCATGCTGTGCCCTCACTCCGTTTGCAGCCGTGCCTTTTCCGCGGCCAGCGTAACAGGGCCGGACAGCCAGCTGCATCGAGAGTTCTTGCCCAGCGGAATTGAAAATTGAGTTGCATGTTAGAGCGATGGAAGGAGCCCCGAAGGGTCGCTCGGTCAAGGCAACGACAAGAGACAACAAGAGACGACCTTGATCCAACCTATTTTCGGGCTTTCCCACTGCCACATCTAGGCCGGGCCAAACGGCTTTTTCAGACAGGATGGTCCATTCTTTCTCATAAAGACCAGACCAGAAACAAGAAACAATATAAAAGTCGTGTCGTCAGAAACAATCGGCAGCCTCTCGGCAATTTGACTTTGACCCGAAGAGGAGGGAGAAAACAAAGTAAGAAGAAGAATGACGAAGGAAAAGAAGATAGACACTAGACTTGCGTTTTCAACAAAACAAAACGCAGGCGACCCGGAAAACGCACACGACCAGACTTTACGCGGGCGGCTTCTAGTCCAGCGGGTTTTGGTGAAACCGCAACTCTTCGGCTTTGAAAAGGCACATTGGCCGCAAGTACCGCTGGTCGCGGCGAGTTAGTGCCAGGGAGCTAGGTCCTACCCTTGGTGGGATGTGGACCCCTGATCCGAGGGCCGGACGGACCAGCCAGGTGCCTCCTCCATCCTGGAAGCGTGCGTGGTCGCCAGCAAGAGAAAAGCTCAGGTGACCTGGGATTTTTTTCTGGGGCTGATGCCAGGGCCTTGGCCGATGCTTCGAGGAACGGAGTGGTGGTGGACACCTTTAGGCATTGGCACACACGCCCCTCCACCCGCCTCAGAAATGCACAACCGGTGGTATGGAAGTTGAGCATTAGCCGCGTCCGAGAGACCGGGGTCTCGGCTCAGATGTCGTGTCCTCAACGGTGTGCGACGGACGTCTACTGCCCTGTGCTGCCACGCCGCCCGGTCAAGTGAGCGGCGCGTGCGATCATGGACTCTGGGTCATGGAGCACAGCACGCTGGATCAAGATGGGCAAGGACCGGACCTGGACCCAGGCCTCTCTGGCCCGGCGTTCGTGGGACATCGTGACTACGGTGGCTCGGCATCCACAAAGGGAGGCGAGTGGGTGGCGGCCATGCGGACTGGACTGGGTGATGGGGGGAATATCAGACGACGAGTCTCCGTAAGGGCTTCGCCGCACCACCCCGGCCTAGTCCCCATCTTCCGCTCTCGCCCGTACTCGAACGATGAGAACACGGGCAGGGAAGGATGAAAGTCAGGTTCTCATAGATGGTAGCCAGTAACCCGTCATCTGCGCGGGCATGACACAAAACTGGGTGGCGGACTGCTGCAAAACCAGGAGTGAGTCGATAGTATGTATTGGCACCTGTGGCCGGAAGGCATCCTGGTTTGTAGTAGACGAGGGGGAGAGGCGAAAGCATGCGTCTTGTCGGTCTAGAGGTGCTGGCTGCTGTGATGTGACTGACCCCGTCCGCAACCCGCTAGACCAAAGTCGCCTGGCACACGGGCTGGTTGGCGGGTTGGCTGGCTGTGGCTGGCTCGTTGACTGCTGCGTCTCTACTGGCGGGCGGGTTGCGGAGACCGCCAAAACGCAGCAAAACGCAATGCAAACGCTGGCCAGAAACGCTGTCGGGAGGGGGCGAGGGCTGCGTTTTAAGAAGAAAAAAACCAGAAGGGAAAATGCAACGGTGGGCCTGGCGGGGCAGCCTCCATGCAACCCAGGCCATGGTCCAGGTTCCTGTCCCCTTCACACTCCAGGCAGGGCCATGTGGAGACGTCTGGTCGGTCACGTAAGCGAGACGAGCTTTGCTGCCCCAAGTCCTAACTGTGCTAATGGGGGAAGACTTTGACCTGGGTGCCAGGAACTTTCCCAAGGTTATAACGGGCACCTGGGCCGCCACGTTCTGGTTTCTGAGAAGTGAAAAAGAGGAAAAGGTTCTCGTCCCGATCAAGTCAGCGCTTCCAGTGCATCGTCAGTCAGCCAGGGGTGCCCTTTTCTCTATCTTGTCGTTTTGGTGTTTCCTCTTTTGCGTGAGGAACGAACCTCCTCTGTTCTGACGCCGCTTTTCCCCTGCCTCTCCCTAGCATCTTGCAGCGACTGCTTTTTTTTTTTTTTTTTTGCCTTGTTCGCTAGCAACAAGTCAGCAAATATTTACACAACGCTTTCCCCGAGTCCCAGACACAAAAACCAGGCGGTGGAGACGCTTGCGACGAGACAAGAGGAACACACACCACTCTTCAGGCCAACCAAGACACACCCGCTCCACCTCTTACCCATCATTTCTCCCTCACCTGTCAAAAGGAACGGCGGTGGTCTGGTAGAGGTCGGGAGGAAACAGAAGCTGCAGCAGCAGTGGCATGCAAGCCACGGCAAGTTCGAGGCCGTCTTGCCTGTCCACCTACCAAGGAGGTACCTACCTAGCCTGGCAGCAGCAGCAGCCACTCCACCATCAAGTGTAGAAATCCCATACCGCCACTGGCTGCACGGCCTGCCCGTCTGCCCACCACACGCACACCCACGTACCTCTGCCGTCTAGGCACTTTTCCCCGCAAGAACCTCGCTGTGCCACCCGTGTGTCTGCTTCGACAAAACGAGCCGCCTCCCGCCCCGTGCAGAAGCTGGCCAGAGAGACACGACGGAACTGTGCCTCAGCCCGCCCCGAGAGCACCAGGGAGAAAAGAGGACGTGACGGCGGGACTGACGAGTGGATCGACAAGAAACCCACCTTTTTTTCTCGCCTTCCTTGCACCCATCTTTCCGTCCCGAACCAGCCCACTCCAGAGCACCACTCCAGCCAGGGTTACCACAACGCTTCCAAGCCGGGCCTAGTGGAGGGCAAGAAAAAAAATTAGGACTATTGCATGGCTGCGGAAGCGGAGGACGAAGAGGAGCTGACACCCAGTCTTGGTTGGGGTGCGGCTGCCGTGCCCAGTCTCCATCTGCTGCCACCAATACGGCCCTGGCCCCGTCACTTGCTGGCCCTGCCATATTGACCCCCTTTCCCCTTCTTTCTTTTACATAAAAATTACACTTGGGCTTCCTCCCTCCCAGCACCTCGCACCTGTCGCTGCCTTTTCTCTTATCTCTGTCACTTACGGCACCGAAACACCAAGCCGACAAGACCTGGAGATCAGAGCCCAGCCCAGCCATCAAACCCGCCTCTCCGGATTCCCTCCCACCAACCCCTGCGCGTCCCTGTCCGGTTTTTTTTTTGGGCCGAACGACGCCTTATCTCTCGGATCGCTCAATTAACGTTGCCGTCACCCAAGCTGCCGGGAAACGGCCGTCACTTGATTGGCGCCACCCGCAACCTCTTCGGCTTTTTATCTTTGCGAGATCTCGGGCCCCCTTTTTTTTCTGCCCCTTGCCCCAGCCGGCACTCAGCCCTAAGCCTGCTCCAAGGGGGATCATCCTTTGGTCTTGCAGCAGCTGCCGCCTGCCGCTGCTGTCGTGCATTTCTGTGCACGGCAACTGCCCGCTGCGGAGCCACTGCCATTTTTGTTTTGCTCGGTGCCCACCACACCGAAAAGCGGCCTCTACACTGACGCTTTCCCCGTCTACCACACCCACCGCCCGGTCCGAGAACTCGGCCATCAGACGGCACCGTTGACTGCCACCACCTTGGGCCACACCCCCGGGGCTAACACTGGCTGACCCCTGACTGCACCGTCGTCATTCCCGACGTGCAGCACATACCACGCACAAGCCCCTATCCCACACCAAGGATTGCGCATCACCACCCCTGTTTCTGGATGTCGATCCCCCGGCGATTAAGTGGCAGGTAACTGGCACTTATACCAACGTTAACTTCCTTTTCTGGCCCAACCGGCACTCTTTGGTACCTTTTGCATATTCTACGGCGTGACCTTGTCGCTGTCTTTTACAACCCCACACACACTAGACAGGAAGGCATGGCAGACAAGATGTCCATCGACAAGAAGGACCCCGTCAAGGACGACAACAGCGAGGAGTCGCTCGGTTCCAGCCCTGAGGGAGAGCAGCAGCCGCAGCAGAACAGCAACAATACTCAAGAGACGCAGGAAAACCAACAGCCTAAACGCAAGGGCGGCCGCAAGCCAGTGAGTTTTTTTTTTGTCTCCAGGCAACACCCCCCCTGCCTGTCTCACCATTGTCGACAAGGAAGCATTCTTTGTGCTAACCCAACGTCTAGATATATGCTACCTCTGAAGAGAGAAAGCAGCGGAATCGCCAGGCCCAGGCTGCCTTCCGCGAGCGCCGCACCGAGTATATCAAGCAGCTCGAGGAAGCCATTCGCGTGCACGAGCAGAACCTTCACCAGCTGCAGTCTGCTCACCGGAATGCCGCAGACGAGTGCTTGATGCTGCGTTACAAGAACTCGCTTCTGGAGCGCATCCTCCTCGAGAAAGGTATCAAAAAGGCAGCAATCAACGACTTACACACCACCTCTCACACAACTAACCGAACTCCGCTTTAGGTATCGATGTCCAAGCCGAACTGCGAGCCAAGACCGGGAGCCCCAACCTGGGGCCGACGCACATGCCCCAGAACCTTGTGCAGCCGCCACCCATCTCGAGATCCCTCCTGGGCCGCCATCACACGCGCAGGTCAAATTCAAGCATCGCTCCCAAGCTCGAGCAGCCAGATCTTTCCGCCACCACGGCGCTGCACCCGCCATTAGGAGGCGCGTCGGCCATGTCGCCCAAGAGCCGGCACGCAGCGTCCTCGCACTCGGCCTCTCCGACCACCACGGCCTCCGTCTTTGGTGGATCACCTGCCGCCTCTGGTCCAGACCACGTTGCGCCGGGAGTCCGCCCCCCTCCGGTAGGGCTGAAGCAGCAGCCCCCAGCCCCCATGGCCCACATGAACGGCATGCCCGCCACGGGGCCCCCAAGAACGATGCAGCAGCAGATGCAGGCCGCGGCCCAGCGCCACGCCATGCAGAGGGCCGCAGCCGCAGGCGGAGCGCCCGGTGGCGTGGTCACCACCACGGCGGCGCCCTTCTACACGCCCGCGTTCCAGAGCCACATTGAGCAACTAGGCAAGCTGACCCGCCCCAACAACAACCCCGCCCCCCCTCCAATAGAACTCTGTAGTCCTAGATTCATTTCCGTCAGTACAGAACAGGAGTACGATGCCGCGGCCGACATGCTCGACGACGAGGCGCCCGACACGCCCTCGGGCCCCGGTCCATATCCGGGCCCCCACTTCGCCGGCGAGCCCCAGCCCATCAGCCTCTCGAGCCCCGGGACCACGACGACGGCGGGCGGCACGCCTACGACCATGGCTCAGCACGCGCACCACCACGCGCAGCAGCACCACCACCACCACCAACACGCGCACGGCCAGCAGCAGAACGGGGCGGGGGGTGGCGCATACCCGGCCATCATCGATCCCACCCTCGACTGGGGCGACCCGTTCGGACTGAGCGCCAGCATGGCCTTCCCCACGCAGTTCTCGTTCGACACCAGCAACATGAGGTGAACGGACGGCAGGCCTCGATACACATGAACTCAACCCTCTTTTCCACTTTTACATGCACTGCCGGAGACGGCGGCTCCTGATGATTACCCAACTCAGGGGGCGCCCTGGCCCGCACCTTTTTTCTCGTTGCAGAACTTTACAACAAAACGACACAACGACTTTAATGTCCTTTATTACATACGGAGAAATAGGAGAAAAAAAAGCGGTTCTTTCCATCCACACGGTTCGGGAGGGCGGTCTAACGAGTCAAGAATTTTCGCGATACGCTACGGAAATACCCAACACGGTGGACATTCAAAACAGGCGCTCGTGGGCTCAAGGTGTTGTTGTTCTTTCTTTTCTTCTACTTCTTATATGCCTTTGCCAGATCACATCTGTACAACCCTCCCATCCTATGCTATACTATATGGGTGATGAAGTTTCGGCCCTTCATGTCTTCCAACCTGTACAACTTGGGACTTTTTATCCTCTACTTTATTTGTCTAGTATACCAGGAATGCGGTGGAAGTTTGGGGGCTGGGGAAATCGGAAAAGTTCTTGATTTTTTTTTTCGGAGGAGCCGCAACAAACAAAAAGAGAAAACATGAAAAGATATACCCATGACTTTGTCGGCTGCATCCTACGACTCTTGTATTCTTTCTGTTTGGTTTACTGCGTATCTTTGTATTACTTGTTTTTACCTTTCCTTACTATTGTTCCCAGTTTGTGTCGTTCCCGTGTTTTTCTTCTTGTGTTCGTTGCGTATGGATGGGGTGCTCGAAAAGCTACGGTTCGAGGCATGGGCGAGAGAGAGAGAGAGAGAGAACCTTTGCAGCCTTATCGACGGAGAAGGGGAGTAGGTGCGAGGAGCATTGACTGAAGCTCAGCAGCATTAACGACGACGGCAACGACGAGATGAGCAAACTATGCCGACAGGACGACCCGACGACGGTGGCGGCATATGAGCACGCCAAGTAGACCGACGACTACATTTGTGCCTATATATTTTCACCAGGACTTTTTGCAGGTGGGCACGCTTTTCTTTTCGGGACGCCCAGTATCTGTCGTTCAGATTGCCAAGCAGATAGATATTCAACACGAGCTACTTTCGTACCCCAGGGTTTCCTTACTTCTTTCCTTCCCCATAGTCATCATTCATTCCCCTAGCTCTCTAGCACGGACCGGTCGGTCACTAGACCGCTCAGACGCTCCGGGGCCAAGCGAGGTGCGTGTGTGGTCACCCGGACACCTGACATCGGGCTCCACCGCCCTCGGCTCTCGCGTCCACGGACTAATGGTCTGGGGATTGGCCTGCCTGGCCAGAATCGGCTGTTTTTCCTTTATTCTCTCCACGTTTTGTATTGGTTCCCTTTGGCTCCTGCGTCCTCGGGGAGGATAGCGCAGGAACTAACTACACAATAATCTCACGTCGGGAGGTCCCATGTACCTAGGCCATGTCGTGTAGTGTAACACACGGGAGAAAATACCAATCCTGTAGCTTTGAATTACACGAAGACACGAGGACAAGACATCACGATGCTGGGCCCGGGCCAAGGACTGCGGCTCCAGATTGGCTTGGGGTGAGATCCAGCAAAGGGCAGACAGATGACGCACGCTGCGTCGACACGGTCAGAGAACGCCAAGCGGTTCTAGACTCGATTCTTCCTCCTGCTCTCCTTTCAGAGTCACCGAGCTCCCCAGGGGGAGCCGATTCGTTCTAGAAAGGGGTGCGACATCGTCGAAGCCGGAGAGCCACGACGATGCTCTTACGTACACCTTTGCAAGGGGGCGGGAACAATGCTGGCTTTGCATACGAAGCGCGACCTTCTTGGCAATTAGGTAAGTAGGACTTTTGCTTCTTCCTTCTTCTCTTTCACTGCAGAGCCCGCTGGAGCCGGTGCAGGGCTTGGCGTGGGCCATTGATCGTGCCGCCCTTTCCCACTGGGTGCCCGAGGCGAGGGCGTGTGTGTGTGATGTGGGCATCATTCCTCTTCCTTGGCAGCCAGCGAGGTGCGTGCCCTGGAAAAAATCCGCCGGCAGGCTTGGCCGTGCTGGATGAGTCCCCCCCAGGCATCCAGGTGTGCCAGGCTCCTCCCACCCTAGTCGGCACATCCAGGGCTGGTACCTGGGCCTTGCCTTAAAGGTGGCCCAGGACCCCATCCGCGAAAACGCAGGAGCGCCCATTGCGTTTCCTCTGCGTCTTCCCAGCGTTTTCGACCTCTGCGAACCCCTGCTGCGTTTTGGCGAGGAAAACGCAGCACATCGTGACTCCCTGCCCTGCGTTTTTCGCTTCTTGCGTTTGCGTTTTTGTGCTTTTCTCGTCCATGGGCGCCGCCACCTCCCGACAAGGACCAAGGATTCGAGCCGAGCCACCCAAACTGGAACAAGATGGGGAGGCGAAGAAGACAAAAAGAGATTCGGTGGATCTGCCTTGGCATCTTTGATTCAAGTCCGAGATGAGCGACGAAACGAGGCTATCCCGACCCGACTTCACGACCTCACAACGTGGTCTACTCAATGGCACGGACGGAGCTGCTTCCTTCGACATCTCTGCAAAATGACGGGGCAGTTCAATATCGAGCCTTTGACCCCTCATCCTGACAAGTCGACGAGGCCACCATGTTCCCCTACAACATCCCCCAAGCGAGAAAGACGCAGCGATGCCATATAAGATCGACCCATCGACGCAACAAGAGCCCGATTCTACGCGTGGTTACCGTCTCCTGAGATGACTTAATAAAGCCCAGCAAACCCGCTCTGGCTGTAGGTATGCGAGGCCCAGCCACCCGAGATCGCGATCGGCAAAGCAGACAGGTAGACCACCACGCCACGCGGCGCGTCCTCCACCCTCCCAGGCGCCAAGGAATCGTGAACAGGACCCAAGCCTCCGCGGCCTCCCGCGGGTCCCGGGGGGAGGGGGCTGTTCTCAACCGCCGCCAATGACGATGATATCGGCGAGGACGCACGGCCCACCAGGGTCTCTGTTTTCTTGGCCTCTCATGATGATGCTTCTGTACTCCGGGCCGAAACGAGTGATTGAAGACCCGTGGGCCTCGGCATTGGGCGTGAGATGGTGAGGTTCCCCACTCCTCCGATACCGGAAGCTTGTGCCGAGTTTGTAGAAAGACAGTGCCACTGCAGTCCTGTCCTCCAACGGAGGGACCTTGATGGTCTTGTTCTTGTGGTGACTCGTAGCTCCTTCGCCCATCCTTGACATGTCGTAGAGTCTATTCTCGAGGTTCTCCGGTATATTGTGCTGTTCTCGTGGAGATCCTAGCAAGTTGGAATCACTTTTGTTAGCTGTAGCCGCTGCAGCACTGCACTTGTACTCATCCTGCTCGAATATAATCTCATTACGGCCCGCTATTCTCACCCTCCTCGACATCGTCTGCGACTTATACGGATTTGTGCCAAGCGTGCCTATGCGGTCTGAGGCCGCATGCGAGCTGCGGCGTGCAGGCACGACAGACCGCGAGGAGACCACGTGGGTGATCAGATGAGCTGATGTAATGAAGCTCATGAATATCAACACGAAGCAAGACCGACTGCCAACCAGCCATGCTTACGTGCGTACACTAAGTGCCCCTGGCACAAAAGCCATCTTCTGCACCAGGAGCTTACCAAAGCATGCCTGCGGGCAGCTACCTACAAAGAGCTCTTGCGTCGAGTGACCTGCATATGGCTGTCCCGCCGCTGGTTGGAGGCTCCATACGATCAGCTGAAATGCACAGCAGAGACTCGATGTGTTCGTCATCGTGCTGACAGCTGCCAGCACTGAACCCTAAAGAGCTCTGCTGGCCCGTGCACCACAACCCCAAACAAGAGAAAAAGAGTGGAGATCAACAATATTTTGAGCTCGTCTGGTCTTTTTGGTGCGCGCTCGTTTTCCCAGCAACAGGAATTTTTCAAAAAATACGGTTGAGTTTGACGAGCCAGACAGAGTTGTGGACTTGAGCCTCTCCCCAGAAAGCCGAAGTGCGACCCAAGGGAGAAAAAAAAAAAGCAGAGAAAAAAGATCCGAAGCTCGAGCCAACAACGGGACCACAGTCCAAGTTTTTCCAACCCTGCCACTCGCTGGGCCCCATCAAGAACCACACAACTTCTGCCCGCATCTCGCATCCTCGTAGGGCCAACACCACCCGGAAACCTAACCACCTGCTTTGTGCACTTGAATCTCTCTCCCTGACATGTCCAGATAGGCGTGTCATCCACCCCAAAGTCATCTACTGAGTGTCGCAAACTTCGGTAGGCCTTTCTCGAAAGGCGAATTGAGCCGGCGCCGTCAAGATGACTGCCGTAGAGTCCAAGGTCAGTCTCTTTGTTCATCCGAGTGCTTGCTTTTTCCTCCCTCGATGCCCTCAATACCTCCCCGCCCCAGATACCCATCAGCTCGTCGGCAGCCTTGCGCTCTGCCATCACCACCTTCACGAAGCACCGACTTGGGATATCTCGAGTTTCCTCACATCGCCCCTCCTTCCCATGCGTCCTCTACCCCGCTACATGGATAGGCCAATGGCCGGGGTCAATGGGTGGTCATTGTCGCGGCATCAAACAATGGCCCAGTCCGCCATCTTGATCGTCGGCGTGGGGCATTGGCACTGGGCTCTATGCGCATGTTGTCAACATATTCGAAAAGAGACCATACTAACTCGCGCATACACTTTTCTCTGCAGAACATTTATGCCCTCCTCGGTATACCCACCCGCTTCCCTAGCGATCGATTCGATCCCATATCGGGTTTCGTTCCATTGTTGGATCGGCGCGTGGCCTGCCTGCTAACCTCGTCGTCTCTTCTATCCGGACAGGCAATGATGAGGAGGACTCGGACACTCCCAAGGCGCCCGTGAAGACGGTCGACAAGACGTCGACCCACACGAACAAGCGCAATGCTGGCGACGAGCGTCCCCGCGGCAACGCCGCTCCTGCTGGTGGCCCCCGCCGTGGCCCGGGTGGCAGCGAGGGAGGTGTGTACTTTGATTTCGTGCCCCGCGACTATGTCCGTCTCAGGTAGACGGCTAGCGCAGGACGCGGGCTGGGTTGTGACCCAGAGAGCCCAGTAACACATTTGTTAACTCTACTCTTAACCACCTAGCTTTCCGCGACCGCAACGCCGGATCTGACCGTAACCGAAGCAAGCCCACCGATGACGCCTCTGGTCGTGGTGGTCGCGGCGGCCGTGGCCGTGGAGGTATGTGAAGCCTTTCCCCTCATTTGCGCCGCCTTGGCCAGCATAAAAATGGGCATGGCGGGGTGCTGAGCCCCACGTTGAATTTTGGCACTGACTTTGAGCGTAATCCAGGCCGTGGTGCGCGCTTCCCTCGCGAGCGTGATGACCGCCACGCCAAGAACCTTCCTACGTAAGCTTCTGTCCATCAACCAACGGCCAAGTTCATCTCGTTGGTCGGACTTTCACTGACACAAATGTCTCAGCGGCGGTTCGGAGAAGCAAGCTGCCCAGTCCTGGGGCGCCACCGAGGGCGAGGCTGAGCTGAAGGACGAGCAGGCCGGCGAGGCCGAGGCTCAAAAGGAGCATGATGCCGACGCGGCTGCTGACGACAACGAGCCTCCCGTTGAGGAGGACAAGAGCGTCTCTTACGCCGACTATCTCGCCCAGCTTGCCGAGAAGAAGCTTGCCCTGGAGGGCGATCTCAAGGTCCGCAAGCCCAACGAGGGTGCGAAGCTCAAGAAGGAGTGGGTCGCTGCGAAGCCTCTTGTCAAGGATGAGACGGAGGACTTCATCGCCGGATCCGGAGGCAAGGCCAAGAGGGAGCGTGAGCGCAAGGTCAAGCAGGTCGTCGATATCGACCAGCGTTTCGTCGAGGCGCAGGACCGCCCCCGCGGTGGTGGTGGCCGTGGCGGCCCCCGTGGCGGCGCTCGCGGTGACTTCCGTGGCCGTGGTCGCGGCGAGAGTCGTGGACGTGGTGGTGGCGAGTTCCGCGGTGGCGGCGAGTTCCGTGGTGGCCGTGGCGGTCCCCGTGGCGGCGCTGGCCAGCCCATCAACACGAGCGACACCTCTGCCTTTCCCAGCCTCGGCAGCTAAGCGACCAACGCTCGCCCAAAAATCCGTCTTCTGTGGAGCGTGGGAAGGCGAGCCCATGGATCCTCTTGTCAACATTGCTCTCCGTCTAATCAACATGAGGGGAGCGAGTCGGCGAATGAGCAAGGCGGTACACACGTTCTGGAGATGTTCTTCAGCTAATGGCTGGTGGCTGGTGGCACATGTTCTTTGTCCCTTGCGGTCGTAGAACCGGCCTGTGGGGATGATGAGCCCTGAACAAGTTCTAAACCCCGGCAACGTCCGGTATCAGCCCTTTTCTCTCTTATTTCTTTTGCCTTGTTTTTTTCCCTTGCGGCTGGTGTTTGTACAAGGCACTACAAAAACGGTTCCCGCTCGATGAATTTTCCCCATATGGTCTTTTCGAATGCACAAAACAGTCTTCAAGCATGGTCTCTTTTTCTCTCTGGCTCGGGCTTTCCCGAGAAACGGTATGGAAAATGGCTGTGGCCCCGGATGGGGAGGAAGCCACGGGGATTTTGGCCTTTTCCGACGTATAGGGCCACATATCTTTTATCAGCATATCTTATACTGGTAATCAGGCTCGTGGTTCTGGAGGCTATACGACTAGATCGATAGGTACTCGGTTCTGCTCCTGTCAGTGTGTGGCCCTGGTGGAAATAGCTACTACTCATATCAAGATATTGAACGGTGTCAACGACATGATGTCCACGTGCTGGTTCTGCGTGAAGCGGATGACGAGCTCCCGGTCCGCTCAATGCAGGGCTGATTTCCCAGAACGGGAAATGCCAAAGTCCTTGAGGCACGAGCGCATAGTTTCCTGTCCTTCGGCGGGCTGTGTTGTTCTTCATTAGCGCATTGCCACTTGGGAAGAGTGGCGACGCAGCACGCTTGCAAGCCGAAAAGTCCTTGATTTAGTCGCAATACCCCGGGGGGCGGCAGAGCTCATGGCTGGATCCCTTGAATCTCTTTGTTGGTACTGACTTTCTACTGCCCTTTTGTGACCCGACGAACAATTGAGGACAAAGGCCTACTCTGGGTATCATGTCTCATTGTTCTGCGAGGCCGGGGCGCAGGCAGCAGCGAAGGTGAGAATGTTATAAAAGAGCCCGGGTCCATCGGTCAAGATGGTTCTCCCACATCCCGCCAGGCCCTCAGGATCACGACGCCTCCCCATCGGCACCGAACTTTTTTTTTTTCGACGGGTGTGACGAGCTCACATACTATTCAATATACAACCATACATCGACATAAATAGCCGCCTTGGCAGCAGCGCCAGCCCCCAGCGACAACACGGCCAAAAGACAGCACTATCGTGAAACCCTCATTTCCGATCCTCTCACCCACCACCTCCGCTACATCACACCCGTAGCCCCATCAGTCGCGCCTCTCTTCATACCCCTTCTCGTCGAAAAAAATGGCGACCGACAACGAGTGGCACCGCGGACGTGTCTGGAGCCCCCAAGACCACGGCGACGACCGCAACAACGCCCTCGGGTTCCTCGAGCAAGAGGATAGGAGTGATGGCTGGAGGAAGAAGATGTCATCCTGGCTGAGAGGCTGCTCGTCAAGTACTAGCAGCAGCAGCGACGACGAGCCCGAGCTCCCTCCCCATCTGCAGGTGCGGCTAGGCGGGCCCGTGGTGTCGTCGTCGCGCCGCCGCGGGTCGGCGCCCTCGCCCAAGCCCGAGACCCGCGGCGCCGAGTCCAGCGCCCTCGCCGCCGCCGCGCGCGCCTCCCTCCTCGGCAGCTGCCACGGCTTCGTCCCCGCTGGCGGCGGCCGCCTCGCCGACGTCGGGGAGGGGCGGCCTCTCGTGGGCTGGAGCCTACGCAGCGGCGGCGGCGGCGGCGGCCGTCGGCGGTGGCGGCTCGAAAAGAAGAAGGGACGGCACCACGGGAAGGGGCGGCACGAGCACGCTAGGGATCCGTCGCCGCAGCCGGCGTCGGGAGACGGCGAAGGACCTGGGCAGGAGGACAGCAAGCCTCTACCGCCGACGCTGTCTGAGACTGGCAAGTTCGATTACATGGACGGGGACGGCGACGTGAGTGACGCGGGCGACGCGAAGTCGCCGCTGTCCGAGACCAGCACGTTCTATATCGAAGAGGACAGTGACGGGGATAGCGACGCGGGCGACGACGATGCCTCTCCCTGGATATCGCCGTGTGCCTCGGCCAGGCTGAGGCAGTGTGGCAGCCCCGCGTACCGCACCACATCTCCCCTCCAGCCCGACGAGGATGAGCAGCAGTGGGAGCAGGGCACACACCTGAAACACGGCGCGGGAGCCGACGCGGAGAAAGAAAGCGACGGCTTCGTGCTCGACCAAGGAGCAACAACAACTCCCTTCCGGCTGCGCCGGGAGGGGCGGGATGACTGGGCGGCTCTGATGAGCGGCGTGGGAGCCGGCGGCGCCCCGGAAGAGGGCCGCCACCGCGGCTGCACGATGACGAGGACCAAGACCCCAGACTGGGCCCCGTCCCGGCCACTGACCAGGCGCGGCCGGCCGCCCGTGACGGCGGCGACGGCGCTCGGGAGCAACCCCTTTAGGCCCAGGACCTTTGACGACCCTCGCGAAATCGAGGGCCTCGTCAGTAGTGGAGCTCGGGGCAACGAGAGGTCGAGGTGCCCCAGCCCCGACCCGGCGGCCGTCGCTGCTGCGTGCTTCTTCCTGGACGTCGGCGGCGAGGTCGCCGGAGGCCCCTGCCAGAGTCCAAGCCCCAGGGCAGAGGCGCCCACGTATGCCTACGACGGCGGCGACTGGGGCAACTACTGGGCTGGCCCAGACATGCAGTTTGGCAGAAGAGACAGCGGCTTTGCAAGCCGCGTGCCTAGTGCTCTCTGCTAGAGCGGGAGCCCCTGCGCGGACAGAGGCGAAGCACGATATACAAGGCTGCTTCGACTATGGGCATTGTTACTAAGACGTTAAACATCTTCGGGCGTAAAGGCGTAGTAGCTACTTCTTGCTTTTAAAATAAAAGGCATACATATTGGTATCAACTAGTTATTTAGTTAGCCAAAATGTCTTATAATGGTTTGAAACATGCCACAAAAAACTTCCTCGTCATATATAGGAAAAAGTTCAACTTATAATATACAAAAATGCAACCTTTAATACTGGGCGTAATCTGCTAGCTTGACTCTGTTTTCCCTTTCCGTTTCTGATAGTTTACTGCGTCTTATTAATGTAGTCTTTCTGGTGGACATGTCAGATAACGAGTATCTATTTCTCTTTACAAATACACATGTGCTGTTGGCACCTTGGCTATCCTTTTTTTTCCTCCCCATTTTGCTAACCAACCACCCAAACTGATAACCCATGAACGAACGGCACGGCTCACCGTCTGTCCGACCTCGAGGCCCCTGCCGTGCCCGCCATGCCGCAGCTGTTGTAGAACCGGCCCGCGTCCACGGCGAGGGCGGCCACGAGAAGCACGGCGTTGAAGGCGGCCATCATGTAGAAGGGCGCGCCCGTCGACCACTCGTCAAACAGGTAGCCGCCCAGCTTGGTCAGTAGCAGGATGGCGGCGCCGCCGTACCAGCTGTAGACGCCGGCGATGGAGCCCTTGAGGCGCACCCGCGAGACCGTCGTGGCGGCAGCAGTAGCAGCAGCGGGGGGCGCGTCGTCGGCAGGCAGCAGCGGCGAAGTCTCGTCTCCGGCTCCCTGCTGACGTTGCCGCTCTGCCCCGCCGTTTGCGTGCGTCGCCGACTCGGGCACGTCGACCGTCAGCACGCCCCGGCCCAGCGAGCCGAGGCTGCAGACGATGGAGCCGATCTGGCTGACGCCGACGAGCACGACGGCGAGCAGGACGGCGGGCCCGCCGCCGCGGCCGTCGACGTCGCTGAGCTCGGGCGACGGCAGGCTCGGGAAGGCGAGGTAGCCGACGATGCCGAGGGACGTGGCGGCGACGACGGGCACGTTGACGGCGCGGCTGGCGCGGCTGGCCAGGTGGCCGAAGACGGGGGCGCACAAGAGGCCGAACAGCTGGGCGACGCCCGTGAGGATCGAGGCCAGCACGTAGGCGGCGCGGCACTCCTTCTTGAGCTCCGGGGACGGGTCGTGCGGCGAGCCCTGGCAGAAGCCGTTGCGGATGAAGTAGGTGTTGACGAAGAGCGGGATGAAGAGCGAGATGGCCACCGTTGACGCGCGCGCCACGAAGCCGCCCAGGTAGCCCAGCCCGATCTGCGGGTCCGTGAAGCCGAGCCGGACTGAGTCCTTGAGGAGCCGGCCGTAGGGGAGATATCTCTGTTTGTGGTGGCGGTTCGTTGGTCAGCTGCCAGCGAGGAACAAGGGCAATAGCAGCATTTTGCAATGACTCAAACATACATCTCTAACCGAAGGTACACTCGAGTTGTGCTGGCGCAGACCCTCCACCTCGTCCTCCCTGGGCTCCTCTGCAAGGCCAAGCAGCAGCCTCCAGCCCTTGCCCTCCTCGCCCTTGATGCCGCGTAGGCCGTAAAAGACAAAGACGGCGACGCAGCAGGCGACGGCGGCGACGACGTAAAAGGAGTACTCGACGGCCTGGGCCGACGTGGTGCCCTCTGCGCGGCCGAAGCGCACGGGCAGCGGCAGGAACAGCAGCAGGGCCACCAGGGCGCCGCAGCCCGTGAAGACCCCGACGAGCCCGGCCAGCACCGACGGTTTGGCTGCCTCGCCCCTGTCGGCGGCCGAGAGGGCCCCGGCCGCGTCCTCGTCAGCCTCCTCCTGCGCGGCGAAGCGGCCCGGCGTTATGGTGAGCTGCGACTCCTGCGACTCGAGCGACAGGGCGACGCTGTTGCGCGACGTGTGCGACGGCTTGGTCGGGGACTCTCGGCTGTAGGACGCGTCGGACTCGTCCGTCAGGGGCGGCAGGAGGGCGGTGACCATGGTGGCGCTGCAAGACAAAGTCGTCAACCCGTGTTAGTCGGGAGCGGGACATGCAAGGTACCGCGGCTGCGAAAAGGGGGATAAACTCACGTGGCGGTGGCGCCAACGGCAAACAGGACCCGGGCCAGCAGCAGCTGGGGGTAGACATTTGTGGCCTGGACAAAGAGGGCGAGCGAGAGGGCGATGATGGCGTAGCCCAGGACGGCGACGTTGCGCACGCCGAGGCGGTCCGAGGCGAGGCCCCAGAGCGGGCAGGCGGCCAGGGCGACGAGCTCGTCGACGAAGCCGAGTGTGCCGACGACGTCGCCGACGCCGTGCTTGACTCCGATCAGGTCGGTGATGACAAAGGAGACGCTGCTGTTGAGGAAGACGAGGAAGGAGATGGAGAAGAGCGAGATGCCGAGTAAGTACGTGGCCGCCTGCAGCGTCGTCGTCGACTCGGCGAACGGCAGCCGCCGCATGATGGCGGCCGTCGCCATGGCCGCTTGGTCGGTGTGGTGTCTCTCAGGGAAGATGTCTGTGTCGTCGCCCAATGGCTGGCTCTGTGGGAGGGAGTCGCGGCTGGCTGTTGGTGTTGGTGCTATTCCGGGGTTCCCGCGTCAAGGGGAGACGGAGTTTGTCCAGCTGGTGGCGCACGTCTTCCCAGAACAGCAGGGTAGTTGGCTAAGGCTGGCACATTGCTGAACCATGGACGGCAGGACACTCGATGCGACGCTGCGGCATCTGTCGTCGGTCTCGTAGAATTACCGCGACTTAGTTGGTGGTTACGCAAGAGGCAGTCATGTTGATCGAGGGACAGGTTAGGCTGTGATACCCTAGATGGATGGGCTGTGATGACATCAAGCCCGCGTTCTGGGGCGCGTGCGTCGTCCTGGAGCACGCTCGTTTGAGGCCGTTACCAGGGCTGACCCCAGGGCGTCCCCAGCTGCAGAGCCGTGCCCAGGGTCAGGGCTCGGGCTTGCGGGCAGCTGGAGCGCCAGTTCCCCGCTACGCGACAGGCCAGCGCGAGTGAGAGCTCGCTAAGATGAGCCCAAGATGAATGTCTCAACATGTTGCCTGGCTGAGCGCGCCTGGATGTTCATAGCGTACATATATCCCACAATAATACTTTTCATACCATCGTCAATCTCTGCCAAGTGTCTCTTGGAGATATGTGAAAACCAATGCGAGCACGGTTGTGTCCAGATTGCGATGACTAACCTCCAGCTGCCACTTTACCAGAATTACACGGCATGAGTGGGGCTCTAAGGGGACGAGCATGAAGCTCAGGCACAAGATGAGCGCTAAGGAATGAAAAAAAAACCACAAGATCAATAGGATCGTAGCACACAGGCTGAAGACAACAGATTCCCGGGCCTCCCGATGCAAAAAGGAATGGAGACAGGTGAGATGTGCAAGATCTACGCTGGGAGTAGAATCAAGAACAGGGGTCCCTAAGCCTACGGAGTTGAAATTTCATCGCGGCTTATCGTTCAAGCAATGGCGGGCTGTTATCACCGAGACCGGAAGAGTGCTGTGTCACGAATAGTTGAGGTCCCACTTCCGCTGCTCGAGGGGACGACAGAAGTCCAACGCAGTGGTACCTTTGAAAGAAAGTCGTGAATCCCAACCCCAGTTCCACTGAGCATAGAGCCGAAGGCCCGCAGGAGGGGGCTTCGGCAGAGGCGCAAAAACAAAACTGCGAGGCAATTAGCTCCGAAGTGGGTGGGAGTTTGTTGGTTCATCCCTCGCCCTTGCCAGCCACAGCGCCTTCCCCCGCGCAAAGGTAGAGCGCCGATACTAGCCGCGTTTTGCGCCCAACGCTCGAGTAGAAACCTGCGACCTCACCAGCTAGTCGGCGAGATCTCAAAAGATCAACACCTACAAGCCTCATCATCACAGCTCTCTGCTCCGTCAAGACCCCTCCCCGCGAACCGCCGCCGACCGAAATCATGTCCGCCTCGCTGCCAGGGAACCGCGAGCTCCCCGACTCGCAGTACGACCTGAGCACGTACTGGGGTCGCGTGCGCCACGCCGCCGGCCTCACGGACCCGAGGTGAGAAGCAGGGACCGGGATGAGAGGTGGGAGTGGAACAGAAAAAGGTGTGCCCTGCCGGTGTGGTTCAACAAGCGCCAATGGCTGTTTGTCATCGGAGCCTTCCAGCCCGGCCCGTCCCTAGGCCTCCAGGGCGAGCAGGGAGGGAAAGCGAAAGGGGCGAGATGGGGTATATTGGATGCCGTCTGTGAAGTGGCGGCAAGCCCGTCTGCTTGGTACAGCACGCTGACGACGAGGCGGCATTCTTCCCTGGCAGGACACTCTTCGTCAACAAGTCGGGGCTCGAGCAGGCCAAGCGGGCCCTGATCTCGTACAAGCAGGGCCATGTCAAGGAGATGAGCCCGGAGCTATGGCAGGCCAAGAAGATTGTCGACTCGACCCTACACCCAGGTGTGTGGATATCCCTACAATTCGCGGCCACCGCATGATGGCGATCTAGAGTCTTGGGGTCTGGCTGACTCTAGCTATTTTCTAGACACTGGGGAACCGGTGCTGCTGCCCTTCCGCATGTCCTGCTTCGTTATATCGAACCTGGTCGTGACGGTGGGCATGCTCACTCCGGGGCTTAGCGTAAGGAACAAGACCAAACTCTCCTCACAAGACTGCCCACTCCCCTCTCACCTCCCCCGAGTGACCTCGAGCTAATACGCAAGCCAAACAGAACACAGGGACAGTGCTCTGGCAGATCGCGAACCAGTCACTCAACGTGGCCATCAACAGCGCAAATGCCAACAAGTCGTCGCCGCTGACCTATACCAAGATGGCGCAGTCCTACTTCCTCGCCGTGGGCGCGTCGTGCTCGGTGGCCGTCGGGCTCAACAGCCTGGTGCCACGGCTGCGGTCGCTGCAACCGTCGACGCGCGTGGTGCTGGGCCGCCTGGTCCCCTTCGCGGCCGTGGCGAGCGCGGGGGCGCTCAACGTGTTCCTGATGCGCGGCGAGGAGATGCGGCGCGGCATCGACGTGTTCCCGGTCCTGTCCGAGGCCGACAAGCGCCGGCTCGCGGCCGAGGGTCGGGCCGAGTCGGACGTGCAGTCGCTGGGCAAGAGCAAGGTGGCGGCCCGGCTGGCCGTCGGCGAGACGGCGCTGTCGCGCGTGCTCAACAGCTCCCCCATCATGGTCATCCCGCCCCTGGTCCTGGTGCGCCTGCAGCGGACCGACTGGCTCCGCCGCAGCCCGCGCCTGACCCTGCCCGTCAACCTGGGGCTCATCATCGCCACCAGCTACGCCGTCCTGCCGCTGGCCCTGGCCGCCTTCCCGCAGCGGCAGCGCATCGCCGCCGCTAGGCTGGAGGAGGAGTTCCACGGCCGCGGCGGCGAGGGAGGCATGGTTGTGTTTACCAGGGGGCTTTGAAAGAGAAAAATATAGATCCATATTCCTTGCTTGCGGCTAACTTTCCGGATACTTTTAGCTTTTGGGGGAGTGAGTGGCGTTCATCCGTCGCAACCAAGGACGCTTGGTGGGAAGGGAAGGGGAGGGAACATCGATACCGAGGAACATATACAATACACATGCAATACGCTATATCAACAATCACGTCGGTCTCCCTCTCCCCCATGTTGATTTGTGCCGTGACGGGGATATATATCTTTGCCGCCGGACGAATCTCAAGACCGGGGGGGCCTTTTGGCTAGCCGCATACAACAAAGACAGGCCTGGCGAGATCTAGATCCAGAGCCGTGGCGGGCCGTTTTTATCTATCTGCTTCGCGCCGCTACCGCACACACGTAATGGACGTGACGTGGATTGACTGGTTGCTTTTCATGCGCGACGCGTCAACCCCATGTGAGTGAGATTCGAACCGAGGAGGGCATAGATTAGGGCAAGGATAAGCGGCAGCCCTTTAATGAGCAAGGACAGAGTAGAGGGTGATGGATGTTGGGAGATACTTTTCCACTCTCTCTCTCTCTCTCTCCCTCGCTTTTTTTCAGCATCAAGGCGAGTTATTGAACCCAAGTGAGACCAGCCAGTAGGCCAACAATGAACCATGCCTGACTTTTACTCTTTTCCTTTGGACCATTGGGCGGGCGGGCGGGCGGGTGGTGTAAGCTTCACTTTCGTCCGTGAGAGTTTAGGGCAAAAGCCACTCGACCACCGCCTGCCCAACCCACACACGCCCACGGGGTGGCACCATACCAACAGCAAGAGGTAGAAAATAAAGGGGCGAAGGGCCCGGCTGCCGACGCTTCGGGAAGCGTTTCAAGAGGGGCATAGAAACATCCTTAAAAAGAGTTTTGCCTCGATTTTTTGCTTTTTTTTTCATGTCATTCTCTGCATTTCCCCTTTGGTGTGGCCCCGGCAAGCCAAGGTTCAATCGTCTATCAACCGGATGAGCAGTAAGTCCGGGACCCCTTTTTTTTTCTTTCTCTTGCTGTGTTGTTGGCTTGGCGGCGTTGGCACTGTTTTGCTTCTTCCCCATGTGGCTGGCGGTGCTGGCAGTGCTGGGGGCGTCAGGGCGAGGGCCTTGCTTGAGTCTCAGCGGGTGTGTCGGTGGTGGTGGTGGTGAGATGGATTCTACGAGCGCGGGCCTGCATGTGTATGTACAGCCGCGGTGCGGTGCGGATAGTGAAGGTACCGTGGCTAGGTAGGTGAGATATTGCAGGCGATCTTGACGAAACGAGAGTCCGACGCTGATCATCCCGTCCGTCGTCTCTCCTCAGGCCGAGCCTAGAGCCTAGAAGGAAGAGGTCGGACGCATTTTGGCTTCTTTGGTTTTCCATTCCCCCCAAAGGCAAACTCACGCCCGGGCTACTGGAGAGTTTTACTGACGGCCTTGACGGGTGGATCGGATCTCGGCCATCGCTTCGCAAGCCAAGAGACCCAGGCTGGATTTGGCCATTGAGGTTGGTCGACACCATATCCAGGCAGGCTCGTCTTCGCCTTATTCCCCCATCGGCTAGATAAAGATAGCACATGCGTACCTACCTAGAGAGCAGAGCACGTCGAGCACCAAAGCGGTGTCTGCCAGTTGCTTGCTGCCTCACTTAAACCAGGCCTGTGCCGAGAACGCGTATAAATAAATCAAGTACCTATAGCTCGCGGCCGGAGCGCCGATCCAATACAGACAGGCCTGCCTTATCTAGTCCGCAGTCCCGGCATAATCTTTCAATTAAAAGGCATTGGATAGGCAGGGGGGATGGGTTATTTGACCATTGGTGGATGCGAGAGACACGGACGGCCCAGGCTCAGCTGTGATGGGTCATCGGATGCATGGTGGGCGGTAAATGGGAGGAGGGAAGTGGGTGGTATCGGGATGCGAACATGGCCTCTCCCAAGAGGATGATGAGGAGGGCGAGCTGTCATATCTGCAAGAAAAGTCTCCGCCTCGCCTAGCGAAGCACCCAATTTTTCCGGTTTGGCCATTCAGTCGGGGCGGAGAGACAGAGAGCGAGGGAAACGGGTACAAGTCTGTGTGTGGGCTTGGGCTGTCTTTGGCCCCGGCTTGCCGAATCGGGCACACGCGGATACTCCCCCCCTCGGCGCGGCGGCCACTGTCTAGGATGGGGAGGAGGAGGGAATTGGAAGCCGGCCTTGCAGGACTGCGGCTTTGCAGGAATACATGCCTCTCTGTGCGTCTCCCACGCATCATGCAAGTATAGTTCCGGGTGCAGCAGCGCACGGCGGAGGAGCCCACGGACGTTTGTAGAGTATGGTAAGCTGAGAGGGGAGCAGGCGGTTTCCTTGGAGGGCTTGGCCGCTCGAGGGCCCTCGGACTCTGTGCACTTTATTCAACCCGGTGAACCTGCCATCAACCTACGGTATCTAGATGGGTACCCACCTATCTAACTGGCTGGCGCCTTGCCCAACTTTGCCCCGATCAACTGGTCAAATACCCTTTTCTGGCGTCGGGCAGGCTGCCAGAAGAGTGTGATCCAATGCTTTGTCAGGCACGCCCAATTCGTCGAGACAGAGAGCCAGGTGTTAGCCACGCACGACGTGTTTGCCCTGCCACGTAAAAGGCTGGGTGCAGACCTGCAGACATGCTGAGCCGATCAGCAGACGAAGTGACACTCTCTGGACGCTATTCATGGGACTGCAGGCGGGCCTCGGGCTCGACGGCCGGAAGGGAGGGGCAATCCGCGGCGGGGTCCGCCGGATACGCTTTTGTGCTGGATGGCCTTTTTGGGGCCATGGGGCGGCGATTGCTATTGCACGTAATGTGCATAAGAGACTGTGCAGTGATGTAAGACCTCTCTGGTCAAACTTCCATGTCTCACAGGGTTGATTGTTCCTTGTGCCTTCCTTTCCCAGCTCTATTTCAAGGCTCGCATGAAACATCTGGTCTCAAAAAGGACACTTTCCCATTCGCCATCCGGCCAACGGGCGGGCGGCGGACAACTCGGATGCGTCCAATGTGACCAGAGTGCCCCATCTGGGCACCGTAATCAGTAATCGACAGACCACTCTTGGCGCCCACGGGGTTGCTGGATATGGGATCGCGTGGGATGGGACGGAGGAACAATAAAAGGCAACTTTTGGTTTCCACTGCGCAGTCCCAACCAATACCATTTGGGAGAGAGACGCAAGCTGCCCCAGACATGAACACACAAGGAAAGGCTTCAGGACCGTCGTCCCCACAGAGTCTCTCTCTCTCTCTCTCTCTCTCTCTCTCGCCTCCTGCGCCCCGTGATTGGGCTCTGCCACAGTACTTTTGTTTCTTCGGCTGTCATCACAGTAAGAACAGAGGTAAAGGCAGACAGGGGGGCAGACAGGGGGGCAGAAAGAGAGAGACAAAAACAAGACGGCGTTGGCGCGAGATGCGTGTGTGCGCGCTTATGCCGCGCCGTAGAAGCACGCCAAATATGTACGACGTCGAGCGAGCTGGGTATCGTGGGTGTGGCGGGCCCGTGCATGGCGTGTGCCCAAGACCTACCCCTACCTGCCTGCTGCCCGCGTTCCTGCCCATGGATTAAAACATGCTGCACGCCTACAACCTGATGTACCCTAATACCCGGGCGCCCCTGTGTGATCGAGAGAGGGGGAGCAACTCCTTCACTAACGCCCGGAGCAGAGGAGTTGGGAGCCGGTGTCAGTTGTCAGTCAGTACCAACACTGGCAAGCAGCCCCCCGAAGTGGGAAATCCTCTTCTTCCTTGCGCGCCCTCCCGCGCCTCGCATGCGCAGGGATGGAGACATGCGCCAAAGCGCGCGCTGCGGTTTTGACAGGCACCAGGAGGCTACAAAGGAATGACAGAGTTTGATCAGAACCCCGACAAGATGGGTGGAATGGTATGCGTGTGGTAGGTAGGTAAGTAGTAGTGGTGGTGGTGGTGGTGATGGTGGCGGTGGTAGGAAGAACGCCTCCCCCAACAAGAGCAACACCAGAACCCGCTGCTCGACGGTCCACGCATCGTGACTGGAGGAAGCGTTTGTCGCCCACCCATCACCCCTTCATCACGCTCTCCTACCCAAAAATCTGCCGGCCTCTGTCTCGGCAGCCCTGAAAAAAAGAGAAAAAAAGAAAAAGAAAGATAAACTGGACAAGAGAGGCGCCCGAAATGACGCTAACGCAATCCCAGGGGAGGGTGACCCCTGCCCTGGGACCATCGGAGGGCGTTTCTCTGGTCGCCTCGCCACCCAGGCCTGGTCCACACAGCCATCGTCATAACCGGCGCCCAAAGAGGGGAGCTGAGTGGGCTCAAGGGTTTTTTTTCTCTTTCCCTTTCTTGCACACAGTAGACTGTTGAGGCCCTCTTTTCCAGTTTGACCATGCCGGAGCGACGGATGAGGGGACCCTTTCGTCACCCTTCTTTACGATGCCAACTCATGCTCTACGTGAGCGAGAGCTCGGCCTCGCCGCTTCGAGGTATGGAATGCAGAAAAGGGGACGGGTCCGGCAGCGGGAACAAAAAACAAGGACCATGTTTATTTTTTGCTGCATTGCGTTTCTCCACGTTCCCGAGCCCCCTTCGCCGCAGATCAACGGCCCTTGTTCCGTCGGGAACCTTGTCAAATCAACCCACCCACCACACATCCTTCGGCACGGGGAGGGCGCGGTGCGGCGGGCTTTGTATGTATGAAGACATGATTGACGATGGGATGGGCTTACGGGGCTGGCCGAATGACCAGGCTCTCGCGGGTTCGAGGAGTGTCGCTGCCATCGTCGTGCTCTTCTCTTATTCTTATTTTTTCCTTCTTTGCCTGCAACACGCACGTGTAACATGGGGGCGAGCCCGACCCAGTCCAGACCTCTTCCAAACCGCGGCATGACATTACCGAAGCTTCCTGGGTCGTGTGTTGTTTACATGATGCCATGATGGATATTGAATCCCTTCATGGATGATGGGCCTTCCTTTGCGCTGGCCCAACATGTATGGATGACTTTGGGGGGTGGGCTCCTGTGGCAACCAGCAACCGCAGCCAGTCATCCGTCCACTCATGTTCCGAGAGGTGTGCTCCATCGCCCAGTCAATCTCGCGAGGAAACAAGCCAAAAAAACCCCAAAAAAAACAACCCCCCACCACGACGTCCCATCACACCTGCCGTCTCTTTTTTGGACACCTCTATGCTTCGTAATCCCACAAAGCACGGCAAGCAGAAAAACAAAAACTGGCCGCAGCAAGACAAAAACTCTGCCTGACGGTCAGCCGGCGAGCAGGGCGACTGGAGCCCGAAAGTGACCAATATGGAGCCATGGGATCAAGGCAGATGAACCAGCGGGCTCCGCCACGTGCCAAACTGCGGGCAGGGTGCAACAAAGTCGTCACTATTGACAGGCAGGGGGACGGCGGTCGACGAGTCAAAGAAAATATTTTCTGCCACGAGATTGAGGAAGCCACTTCCAATCTTTCTTCTGCTTGTTTCCCCCTTGAGAGGCGACAAATATTGTACCAGAAGAAGAGGCTCCCAATGTTTCGAGGGTCGGCCGTTCAAACCGCCTGTGAAAGAGACAGAGACCCTGGGGCATGGGGAGTTTATTTTAGCGGAAACGGGCGAGTGCACAGCTCACAACACAACGCAGCAGCAAGGGCCCCTCGAGGCGGGTCTTGGATTTGTATGGAACCACCCAAGATGCGACGCAGGGTAGGGCATAGATAGCAACGCCTGAAGTTCCCCTCGGCTGGCTCCCAAGTCACGCTCGTCGGCGCCGCCCGGCGGGAAAAAGAAAAAAAAGTGCAGCTAGCTAGCATGGAAGCCATCTCTTGATTTCGCCATGTCCGACCCAGCCTCCACCACCGTTTTCGGGAAAGCACTGGGGCGCAAGGATCTCCATGCCAAACCCGCTGACCGAGTTGATGATGTTGGAGATATGTGCTGTATGTCCATCACGCAAACAACGCAGCCAGGGCTGGCGCAATCGTGCCACAAGCCCACCCAGCCCTGCCCTGCGCGCGTGCGGGCTTTCCTGCTCGGGAGGGATTGCCTTGGGACCCGAACCCGGAGAACAAAGGTGCCAGTGCCGCCCGCAGATTGCAATTGGCAGGGTGATGGCGGATGGTTAGGGGGCCTTGACGCGCGCCGCCCAGTGCGGGAGTGTGGAGGGGTGCGGAAAACACATTCCGCCATGCCGCTCGCACGGATTGATCGAGAGCAAAAAAAAAAAAAAACCTTCGCGCGTGCGCTGGTAGAGTGAAGTCCCAAGACCAAATCGAGTAGGCACGGCATCCAAGTTTGGTTCTTGCCTCTGTAGGCGGACCAGCCCGCCACTCTGCCGGAAAGGGCTACCTCCCTCCTCTGGTCCTTTTGTGGCCGAACGAAGGAAGATGGCTTTTGGGATTTTCTTTTTTGGAGCAAGCAAGCGCCGCCCTTGGGTTCCCCCCAGGTTGAGTGGACAACAAGGACGAAGCGGATAGGCCGCTGGTCGAGGTCACACGTTATGGCCTGCCTGCTCCTCTTGCTGCGGGACGAATAAGCCTGGCAAGCCAAACGGCGACAACCGCAAGAGCCGGGCTGGCGCGCCCTGATGTGGACACCCGCCGTGTCTTCCTTTCATCGGCACTGTGCCTGTCCGTTCGTTCATTCGCTCCCGTTATTGCGTTTCCTGCTATATCAAACCTAGTGCCTGACCCGATGGAGGGAGCCTCTGCTACCCGAAGAGCGCCGTCGTCAAGGCCAAAGTGCAACGTTTTTTTTTCTTTTGGCGTCCAGTGCCATGTACCCGGACGGGCCCGCGGTCTCCATGTTGGGCCCTTCCCCCTGGCAGTTACAGAACCGGCTTTGGGAGGACGGGGAGTGAATCGCCGTGCTGCACGCCAGTCTCAAGAGGCCACCAGATTGCGTTGCTCGGCCAGCGATGGGACGGTATTGTGCCAATCTAGAATGTCCATTTCATGTCCATATCTCTGCCTCGTTATTGCCTGCACCGTACCGTACATGGCATGCCGTTTCCGCTGCTGGCGGAGGCCAAGGTGACGGCCATCATAGCGTGGGTGTGCGTTGCAAGACATTCACTGCACGACTGACTCTCATTGCTTTATGGGCGGTGGCGAAAAGCTTATTGTTGGGATCCAACCATCGAGGTCTAGAATTTACCCAGCAAGAGACCCAGCCGGAGGTGCCCCGTGGTCCAGGGAACAGCAGACAGCAGGAAGCAGGAACAGAAAAAAAAAAAAAAAAAAAAAAAAAAAGACACGCTACATGGACTTGAGGCCAGCCAGGAAAGCGGGCTAGCAGTCAGGCAAGCGGCTAACGAGCACGGAAGCACGGGAGCGATGGGCACAGCACAGTCAATAATAGGTGGGCTTTGTCTCTTCGCACACAAACCAGGGACGGAACGGGTCAAGGACAAAAAAAGAAAGGGCGACAAGCCCAAGTCTTTTGGCAAATCCGTGCGTGCTGTGCTGGCTGGAGGATTCGAAAGTGAAGAAAAGGGAAAAGGGCCAAAAGTAAGCCGCCAGCCAGGGGTTGGCTGTCCACAGCTGCCCGGCCGCCCCCTTCGCAATCCAAGCCCGGCGTGCCCAGTCAGTCCACAACAGCCAGCCGGGGCCACCAGTGCGTCCTTGTGCTGCCGGCTGGTAACCCCCCCTCGCTGGTGTGCGTGTGCGTGTGTGCGTGTGTGTTGTTTCCATGGATGCCAGGCTTGTGGACAGCCTGGACCCGAGTGTGAAAACCACCGGCCCTTGTTGGTACTTCTTATACTGGCATGGCTGGCAGGGCAGAGAGGTCGACGGGTCGTACAGTGTAGGGACGGCCGAGGTGGACGGCAACAGGCCTGACGCCGCCAATTTATCATCCCTCCTCTCTGGGAGGCGGACTGGGCTGCTGGGTGCTGGGCTGGTACGTCGGTGGTGCGTGCTGCAGTCGGATCCGAGCCGATGCAGCAACGAGCATGGTGACGGCAGAGACGCTGTTGGCGCACACAAGTCTTGTCTGGCAGGCCCTGAAAAAAGGAAGAAGGGAAAAATAACCCTGCCTCGGCCTTTGTTTTGGACTAGTCCACCAAGACGCTGTCAACGTTGGAAAGAAAGCAGACAAGACACTCGTCTACTCAACTCGCCTAGCCTTTTTTTGCCCATCGACGCTCACCTCGCCCACACGCCTAATCTTGTTGATGCTCCTACCTATTCTGTCCTTGTTCTCTCCTCACTCCTTGCCCACTCGACGCCCTCAAAGCTGTGCCTGCCACCTGCCCCAGAGACCAGCCCGGGCTTGTCAGTTGTGCCTTCCCTATCGCCCTTCTTGGTTTGCGTGCTCCATCATTGATCTCCGCTGCCGCCCCTGCACCCACCCAGCACTGATTTGGCACATTTGGCACCCAATTCCAGCGGGCACCCACTGCCTGCAGCACTGCCTGCGTTGCTCACCCGCTCGTCGCCTGAGGCACCAGGCCTGACGCCGGTCAATTGTCAGGTCGCTTGGTGGTTGACTGAGCACAGCCGACGGCCAAATCAAAATTCTGGCCTGGTCAGTGCTGCGTCCCCAGTTCTGCGTCCCCAGTTCTGCTGTGCTGGACGCTGTGCATGCGCTACGAGGGCGGCACCTCCCCCAAAGCACCAAAGGCCTGACCCAAAGAAAGGCACCCACCCAGCGCCGTCCCAGCGCCCCAGGCCAGCCAAACAGTGGTCGTCGTCCGAAACCCTCGCGGGTGGTCGCCCTCAATTCGACCTCCACCAGCTGCCGACCGCCTAACCAAAACCAACCTCGAGCCAACTACCTCGTCGCTCCTCCGCTCCCTCTCTCTCCACACCTCGCCCGCCAGGCTCGAGTCGCAACCTCGTTGACAATCGAGTCACAACCGCCCAAAATATCGTAATGTCGACTCCAACAACAGCGACTGCCACGCACCCCCACTATCATCACTACGGCGGTCATTTTTCACATCCTCAGCCGTACCCGGCGCCGCCTGCTTCGTACCCGATTCTGCCTCCAGGAGCCAGGCTCGCTCCCTACCAGACCTACTCCACTCCCTCGTTGAGCGGCAGCCACGCCGGCTCAAATGGAATAAACCTGGCTGCCTCGTCCCCGTCGTCTGTCCAGCCGAGCCGGCAGACCGCCGACATCCCACAACTGCTCAACCCGATCCCGCGACAGCACCTCAGCGACGACTCCTCGACACACGCAATGCCCGCCACCACGGCCGTCTCAAGAACACAGCTGGCCGACCTGTCGGCCGGTGCCCGCAAGCGGAGGCGCTCCAAGGGCCCCGACTGGCACACCTTCTACAAGAACGGTCTGCCCAAGGAGGTCATCGTCATCGACGACGACACCCCGGAGCCCGACTCGTCCCAGTCCCAGTCGCAGGCCACCGCCGCCTCAAGGGCCCTCGTCAACGGTGCTGCCGTCGCCGTCAACGGCTACGCCAACGGCCTGTCGGCTGCGATTGAAGCCTCGAGCAGCAGCAGCACCAATGGCCGCCCGCTGGCCAAGAAGAGAAAGCGAGACGGCGAGCCCACGCGTTACGATGCCGTCCACAACGGAGGCGACCCATCACACGCAAACACGCCCGCCGCCTCGTCGTACAATCACATTGCCAGCCCCAGCGCCTCCACCATCTCGAGCGATCGCAACACTTCTGCAAACCACACCACCGCTCCCACCTCTCTGGGCTCCGCCTCGTCGATTGGTGGCCAGTACGACGATGTGCAGGCGGGTCAGAAGAGGAAACGGACGCGACAGCAGGTGGCCGACCAGGCCAAGAGGAGGGAAATCGCCCTCTACGGCGCCGCTGCTTTCGCAACATACCAGCCTCCCACACGCCCCATCAAAAAGGCCGCAGACGTCAACGTCCGGGTCGTCCACGACGTAAGCACAACAATCAAGCAGAAACCCACTGTTCAGACGCACGAACTTTTTGCTAATCCGTCGCTTGTTAGCCAAACTCCAAGGGTGTCAAGGTCGACGACGATGATGGTCACTACATTGTCATTCCTGACGCAGAGCTGACCAATGACTGTGAGTGCATTCGAAATTTTCTCATGGGCTTCATCCACTGTTTGCGAGGAAGAAGGATCTGACAAGAAATGCCCTCATTCTAGATCAAATGCTCAAGCTTCTCGGCCAAGGAACCTTTGGCAAGGTGGTCCAGGCCCGGGACCGAAGGAGAAACGAGCTCGTTGCCATCAAAATCATCAGGTCGGTGCAAAAGTACCGAGACGCTTCTAGAATCGAGCTTCGCGTGCTGCAGACCCTCAAGCTTAACGACGCCGAGAATCGAAATCGTTGTATCCATCTGCGAGACACGTTCGACTACCGAGGTCACATCTGCATCGTCATGGACCTGCTGGGCCAGAGCGTCTTTGACTTTCTCAAGGGAAACAGCTTCGTGCCTTTCCCAAACAGCCAAATCCAGAGCTTTGCCCGCCAACTGCTCACAAGCGTGGCCTGTAAGCGCTCACTATCCAGCCGATACACAAGTTTTCTTGAAGACGCTTGCTGACCAAGCCATCACATCGTCGCCAGTCCTCCACGATCTCAACTTGATCCACACGGATCTGAAGCCCGAGAACATTCTACTCGCGGATGCCACATACCAGACCTTCACCTACAACCGGAAGATTCCTTCATCTTCCACCACGGTCAGCAGACAAGCGACCCAGCGCAAGGTGCTCCTGGACACCGAGATCAGGTTGATAGATTTCGGATCGGCCACCTTCCAAGACGAATATCATTCGTCTGTGGTATCGACCCGCCACTACCGTGCTCCGGAAATCATTCTGGGTCTCGGCTGGTCCTATCCCTGCGACATTTGGAGTATCGGCTGCATTCTCGTCGAGTTCTTTACCGGCGATGCTCTTTTCCAGACGCACGACAACCTCGAGCACCTGGCCATGATGGAGGCTGTGTGTGATCGCAAGATGGACACCCATCTCGTCCAGAAGCTCCATCGGCCCACAAGGAATGGGCCGACCAACCCTGCTGCTAAGTATGTATACGCACCGGGCGTCTGCTGCCGCCCAAGTGAGATGGCTACTCGGCATAATGATGAACGGAAGCTGACAGGGCACCGCCAAAATCACAGGTACTTCAGGAGAACCCGACTGGATTACCCGACTCAAGAGACCACTCGTGCCTCGAGGAGATACGTCAAGGCCATGAAGAAACTGCCGGTTTGTCTACAGTCTCTAGCCAACTACCGCGTCGAGAAACTAACACATGCCCTCTCAGGACATTATCCCCAACACCAACAACTTCACGAAGCAGTTCCTCGATTTGCTACAGAAGATATTCATCTATGATCCCGCCAGTCGGATTACGGCCAAGGAAGCGCTGGGCCACGCGTGGTTCAAGGAAATCGCCCATCCAGACGACGGGTCCGAGGCTGCAAGGATACGGGCCGAACGCATGAGGATGAACGAGTTGTCGGCCGCCCGGGCGTCTCAGCACTGATGGCAAATATTTGTTAATTCACGATCCTACACGGCTCGGACGTGACGGGCTCGCCTACGAGCCAATATTGTGTGTGTATAGGAGCTGCATTCATTGGGGGCGCTGTCTTTCTGCGCTGTCTTGTTCTTGTTTTTCATTATTTCTCGCCTTCGTTTCCTTCCGAGGGTGCTGGATGGTGTCCCCCCCTCTCCTCGTCACACCCACGTCCGACGCAGCACGATGATTTACGCGGGGCACGGAGGATTGGGGCTTGATCACATGCGGAGTTATAGGAGCCTGATTTGGGAAACCATATGTTCCAAGGGGAATGCAGGGGCGACGAACGCAAATGAACACAAACACGCCTGATTTCAATAGGTAGAGATAACTGTTTCTTACCGGGACAGCTATTTGTCGTTATTCTCAACGGCATGCTCAACATAGCGAGGGATGGTTTATATCACGTCTGCCACCGCGCGAGCAAAGCAGCGCGGATAATGTGGCCCGATGCTACTTAACGTACCCGACAACCCGAGGCGAACGAAGCGAGATTCTTTCACCGGCCCAACATCATCTGATACTACGAGGTTCGGACGAGCAGCGAACTGTCTATATCACCGAGTACCTTTACTCTTCTCCTCTGTGGCACACTACTCTTGGAAACTGGCTCTTGACAGTGTCGAACGAAGGGGCTTCGCAGAGATGGAGGCCAGAGGCTTTGCATCCTTTGTTGGAAACAATATTCCCCACGACGGTCCAGACACAGCCTTCGTGATGGGCTCCTCTCGATGCTACGGTATGTCTTCCAGTCTTGACGGCATGCTCCTTTGTAATGACATGTCGGTCTCTTTGTATCGTTGCTGGGCGGTTCGACTAACTGCCGGCAGGGCGTGACAAAAAGAATGCGACTTGGAACAATGGAGCTCTTTTGCGGAAAGGCATCGATGGTGCCTACTGTCGTCTTTGTCCTGGGCATAACGCCAGGTAGATAAGATGGGGAAGTTCGCGGCGGCTATACCGCCGGTTTTGCCGGGGAGAAAAAGCTGCTCAACATAAACGCACAGGCAGGCACATCTATCGCCATCCCCCCCCCCCCCCCCCCCGAAGTTGGGTCTAGCATCTGCCGCTGGAGAAAGACTCTCCAACCTTTGCAGCGTTCTTGGCCTTTCTCAAAGTTAACCCGTGTCTACGAAACACGCCTCAAGTCTCTTGGAGCGGCGGACGGCCTTTTGGGGCAACGACGCCAAGTTCAAGGTCAGACACACACCCCCTCAGAGTGACCCCCTCAGAGAGCCGGCAAGATGGCGCCCGTTGATCGGGCACTCCATACGCTGACGGCGCGACAGGTCGACAAGCTGGCGGACCTTCTATACATGTCACCTAAACACATGTACCAGGACGGGCAGCCTCGGAACTCGTGGCTCAAGCACCAAAAGGACAAGATGGAGCGCTCCGAGTTCCCGAGGCAGCTGCGGCGCCCCAAGGGCGCCCTGAACTGGGTCCGTCTGCGGGTGGCTGAGAAGACGGGCTGGACACATCACGAGTTCCTGCCACAATTAGCGGACTTGTGTGAGGTGCATCGCAAGGGCCTAAACCCGTGGCTCATTCATGACGTGTTTAAACTTGTACACGACGAGTCGACGCTGCGAACCACGCGAATCCGCGGTCACAAGAGCGACCTCTGCACCCCAGAGGTGCAGGAGTTCCTGAACCGTATGGCTGGCATCAACAGCCTGTGGTTGGAGGACAGGAAGTTCAACCAGATCTTTGGTCGCGACCCGCCGGTGCCGGAGCGCTTCCGATTCCAAAAGCTGGGGAACGCCGTTACCAACTCGCGAGGTGGCGACGATACCGACAGCTCGGCATCGACCGACAAGTACGAGGAGGATACGCGGCGCCTGAGCTGCGAGGCGTGCGTCTTGGCCTGCGTGGGCGGCCACCCTAAGCTGCTCACGGCCCTGCGGGCCAGCCTCCTCGGCCGCACCAAGAGTGACGACCCGAGCAAGGCGCCCATCCTCATCCTGCTGATCGACGCCTGGATCGAGTACGGCAAGGCCGAGCACCACAAGGCGGTCATCGAGGCCGAGTCGGACAAGCTGGGCCGCGCGCTCCGCGCCGTCCGCGTCGCGGAGGGCAAGGTCCAGAAGGAGATCAGGGACCGCCGCGCCCGCCGCCGCCACGCCGAGGAGAAGACGAGCGGGGAGAAGGAGAGGCGTGACCGGGACGGCAAGCGCCTATCGCGTCACAGCAACCACCACCACAGCAGCCGCAACAACAACAACAACAACAGGTCGCCCGACAGGCACCGCGACAGGCGGGACAGGCCAGCTTCGCAGCGCAGCGCAAGGCCGGCGACGGTTGACCCGTCGCGGCTCGGCGCCCACGTGGCGGCATCCCCGCCGCCGCGCGCCCGGTCGCACGTCCTCGACCCGATGCGGCGGCGGGTGACGGACCCGGTCCCGCCGATGCAAGCGCTGCGCCGCGGGGGCTCCATCAAGACCTATGCGGACCTGCAGGCGCGCACGGCGGCCCAGCACCGGGCCATGGTGGAGAGGGGCGAGTGGGACGAGCGCGACGAGTTCGCGTCCTTCAAGTCGAGCGAGTCGGTGGACGACGAACACCGCCGGAGCAACTTTAGCGAGTTGGGCTACAACGACGACCACTACACCGAGATCGGCGTGCAGATGAAGCAGAGAGAGAAGAGGGCTTCCGGCTGCCCCCGGGCACCCTCGTCGGTATACAGCCAGGACTCGGACTCCACAGCCAGGGGCTCCTCGACCGTCAGGGCGTCATCCTCGTCCTCGTCCTCACGGCCGGGCGGTGCCTCCTTCTCCGCCTCCTCCACCTTGACCGTCAGGGCCCCCCGCGTCGCGCCGGCCACCGCCCGCCGCGAGCGGCGGGACCCCGAGACGGTGGGCGGCCGCCGCGAGCGCGCCGTGACGGAGTGGTACGGCCTCATGTCGGAAGCGGGGGGTAACCGCCGCGACGACGTCAACGACGATGGCGTCAGCGCGCTGGACGCGACGGAGGATTCGCCCGGATACGCGGAAATGCTCGTCGATGACGTTTCGTCGTGTGACGACGACGGCGACGACGACGACGACGACAACGGCGAAGGAGGTAGCAGCAGCAGCAACCCCTTCCGCGACGCCCGCTCGGCGGCCCGGAGGGAGGACAGGGGGAAGAAGAAGGGCAAGCAGCCGCAGCAGCAGCAGCAGCAGACCAGGGGCGGCGGCGGCGGCAATGACGACGCGGCCAGCTGGGTCTCGATGAGCATCCACAGCGACGACGACGACGACGACTCGGGCGGCTACGGCCCCGGCCCCTCGCGCTGGGACAGCTCTCGCGCCGCAGCCGCTAGCAGCAGCAGCGGCGGCGGCCACAACAACAACAGCAACAACAGCGGCAACCGCCCGCACTCCATGTACACGGACCAGGCGAGGCCGCCCAGCCGCAGCGCCAGCAGCCGCACCGCCCCGCCCTACCATGCTACGGCCGCGAGCATCCTCGACTATTATTTCAACGTGAAGCCGGAGCCGGAGCCGGCGGAGGGGGAGGCCCCGCCCGTCTTTGGGGACCCCTTTGCGAGCGGTGGCAGGAGGCCACGCAACCCGCCGTCGACGGCCGTCGCGCCGTCGGACGTGGCCGGCGGGCGGAGGTCGAGAGAGGGTGGTGGTGGTGGTGAGCCGTCGCGCCACCGCCGTCGGTGACGGCCGCAGTTGACAGGTGATGAGGAAGGACATTTACCTGCGCTATGCTTGGAAGCAGAGTACTCTGGTGAGTCCCAGGAATGTCCTTTGTCCTTGTTTTATATTTGCAATCTTTATCGGCTGGTACTACTCACTTGGTCCACAGCTCTATAATACCCCCATATCGCACAATCAGCCTATCACGGCGTAAATATCTTGAAATATATCAACTATACAAAACAATGAACCATGCATCGCGACTGTAAGAACATTACCCTGTGGATACGCCACTGCCTTGACATCGAACTATGGATGGTCAGCCCCCCTCTTCCATGCCATGGGGCTGGTCTGGCACGGCATCTATTGTCACCTGACATAGCTGAAGGTCATGAACAAGGATCAATGAATATCAGCAAACAAAGAGTGAGAAGAGACGTCAATGAATTTATTTTTAACCCCCTAGGGCTAACATCGGACAGAAAGCAACACCAAGAAGAACCCCTCGGACTCCATAACCTGGCATAGCCATGTCTATATTTACCGACCCTCTATCTATGATACAACGTGAATAAAGGTATATATAGGTTTGCACAGTCATTGAGACCTTGTGACCACGGCACTTTTCAAAGGCCGCCATAAAGGGCTAGAAGACAAGCACGTTCGGAAACACTTCGGCTGGCGGCGGCGTTGCAGTCTGATAGGCTTACACGACAGCGGCGCCTGCTCAGGCTCTGTCCGCAACCTGGGAAACATGACGTCCCCGAAGCCGTATAACCGCCATTGTGATTCTTCTCGTATAAGGCTGGTTCCGCGCGGTTATTTGCGGGTTGCTTCCAAGAGTGGGGTGGGCCTCATCACGGACGGGGCAAGCAAACAAGTAAGCGATCGCCAGGGCTGCCTAGAATGATGCCGCCTCCTGGTTCTCTATCTTCCTCTTGCGCGGGCTCGAGCCGCCGCTGGGGCGGGTGAAAAAACCATCATCCTCACCACCCTCGCCGGCAGCAGCGACGAAAGCAGCGGGAGCGGCGGCGGCGGCCCCGTGTTCGGCGCTCTTCTTCATCTTGGCCGCCGCCCTCTTCTGGTTCTGGCGGTTTTCGCGGGCGGCGGCCTTCCTGGCGGCGGCGGCGGCGGCCCTCGCCTTGTCGGCGTGGTACTTGTCGACGGGCGTCACGCCGTCGTCCTCGTCGAGCAGCAGGCCCATCTCGAAGGCGTTGCTGACGCTGCTGGGCGGGCCGCTGATGAGGCTCGGGTCCTGGTACAGCTCGCGGAACTGCGGCAGGAACCTCTCGGCGTGCCGGAACCGGCTCAGCTTGACGCTCATGTGGTCAAAGGCCAGGAGGACCGGCATGTCGTCGATGGTGGCGCCGCCGTCCCGCCGGGGCTTCTCCTCCGGGCCGTCGACGGCGGCGCTTGGATCCTCGGCCGCCACCAGCTGCTCGTTGCTCCCGCCACCCTCGCTGGAAGCGGTGATGACCTCCTCGGCCGACGGCGCCTCCGCCTCCGCCTCCGCCTCGCTGCCGCGCGCCTTCTCCTCCAGCCTCTGCTTGTACATCTGCAGGTTGGCGACCTTGGGGTAGCGCTGCGAGAAGTGGGTGAGCAGGACGCGGCGGGCGCCCATCTCGCGCGCCACCTCGAGCGCCTCGCCCATGGTGGAGTGCTTCTTCGCGAGCGCGTCGCCCGCCATGTCGTCCTCGAAGGTGGCCTCGTGGATGAGCAGGTTGGACCCGCGGCCGATGCGCGCGAACTCGGGCGAGGGGCGGCAGTCGCCCGAGTACGACACGCGGAGGCCGAGCCCCTCCCACGTGAAGGTGGTGGCGAGCGCGTGCGCGCAGTGGTCGACGGCGACGCACTCGACGCTCGTGAGCCCGCCCAGCGCCTCGGCCTCGTGCCCGGAGAAGACGCGGGGCGGGCACGCGCGGCTGACGGCGAGGTTGGTGGCCGGCATGCGGATGTCGATGGTGTTGACGCGGGAGCTGACCCACTCGACGGCGCCGTGCTGGCGCACGAACTCGAGCATGTTGGTGGTGGCCACTATGGCGAGCCTCGGCGTCTGCAGGCGGAAGTCGGCGCCCTCGGCGCGCGCGCGCAGGTGCTCGGGCGTCTGGGTGGCGCGGTTCCAGGCCTGGATGATGGCGATGAGGCCCATGTGGTGGTCGGCGTGCACGTGGCTGACGAAGACGGCGCGCAGGTCGCGCAGCACCTCGGCGGCGCCCTCGGGCCCGTACTGGCGCCTGATCTGGCCCATGGTGTTCTCGCCGCAGTCGAAGATGTACGACCCCCGGCCGGGCACGCGCAGCAGCGTCCCCGACACGTTGCGGTAGAGCGACGGGTACGACGAGCCCGTGCCCAGCGACACCACCTCGACGTTGCGGAGCAGGTCCGTCGTCAGGTCCGAGTCCGCCTCGAGCGCCCTGGCCTCGAACTCGGGCGAGTCGACGAGAACGCGGCGCTCGGCCACCTTGACGAGCACCTCCTTGGAGGTCCCGTCCTGCTGGAGCCGGCTCCAAGCCTCTTCGGTGTCCATCGGGCCCACGCCGTTGTCGTCCACCTGCAGCTCAGACGTCAGCCTTATCGTGACGCCAGGCTTGCCGGCCACGTAGGGCAGCTCGGGAGCGGTTTCCGTCGAGGGCTGGGCCAGGTGAATGGGTGGGAAGGCTGTTGGGTCCAACTTGTTATGTGTGACAGCCATGGACGCAGAGTTCCTAAAGTTCACAATGTCGGACGAGACCTCGGGCGAGGAGACGATGTGCTTCACCCCCGGGAGCTTGTCCTTGAGGAATGACAGAAACACGGGGTCCTCGGCAACACCCTCGCCGAGATTCCAATAGATGAGGCCTAGGCTTTTAGCGATTTCCTCGATATTCCACTCTGGCCTCGCGACAAGTGCGGGGATGTACGTCTTGTTTGGCACCTCAAAGACTCCAAAGGCTGTGCCCTCGATGGGCGCACCCAATACCATGTCGGGGGTGACAGTGGTGCCGTCCTTGGCCGTGGCGTTCTGACCCAAGCAGAGCAGCTTGAAGCTGGTCTGGGGGACGCCGAGCTTGTCGGCGGTGGCGCGGTCGAACTTGCCGCGGCGCGACTGGGGCTTGACGATGTAGCACATGGAGGTGTAGTTTTGGCGCGTCCTTGGGAGGTTCTGCACAAGCCCAGTGGGCCAGCGCCTGCGCGCCAGCACGGGGATGTTGGGCACCTCCTCCCGGCCAGGGCCGGGGAACGGGCCGTTATACCGCTCCAGGCGGCCGTCGCCGCCGCGCACAAAGACGGTGGCGGGGAGCCTCACGTCATGCAGCATTGTCTCGACCAGGGCGTCCATACCCTGGCTTTCAAACATGTCCTTGACGATGGCCGCGAGGGCGTCCCTCGCGGAGTCCGTCATACCCTCCTCGGGCTCGAGCTCGTTGGCGTTGGCGTCGGCGGGGGAGGCCTCGGCGCTCGGCTTCCTCCTCTTGCGGCGGTCCGAGGTGACGTTGACGAGCGGGACGTGCCAGACCTTGATGTTGTCGTCCTCCCAGTCGCACTCGGGGTTGGTGGGGTCGTCGAGCCGGGGGTCCGTCAGGATCTCGCGAGGCACGACGGGCAGGGACTGGCGCAGGATGAACTTGCGGCCCAGGGCGAGGTAGTAGACGAGGTTGTCGCTGCCGCGCAGCTTCAGGCTGGTCATGGTGCCGATGCGGGCGGTCGGGCGGGCCGTGGTGTAGTTGCGGTTCTTCATGGTGGTGTCGACGATGCCGGCGATGGTGAGGATCATGCCGAGGAGGCCGCCGCAGCTCTTGGTGCCGATGGTGCCGGTGATCATGATCTCGTCCATCTTGGCCAACGAGTGGCCGCGCTGGACCATGAGGCGCTGGGTGCCCTCGGAGACGTTGCCGATGAGGTACCGGCGGTTCTCGAAGTGCAGCAGCACCGAGCTGCCGCACATATCGGCACTGGGCGTGCTGACGAGGGTGGTGCTGACGAACATGTTGCGCGGATCAACCTCGACGGGCTCGGCTGGGCTGCTGGGGTTGTTGGGGCTCAGGTGGTCCTCCTGCCACGGCTGCCGAGTCTCGCGCGAGGTGAGCAGGAATATGGACTGCCCCCGAAAGATGGTTGGGCCGGTATATCGCAGGCGCCAGGCCGATCTCGTTTTGCGGCCGCCGTCGGTGCCGAGGAGTTTATTCAGGGTGTTGCTCGAGGGGGTGCGGGGGAAGGATGTCTTCAAGATAGAAGGGATGCCTCTACCCCTCAAGATCACCTCCAAGTGCCTGCTCATTGGTGTTAAGTCATCCTAGAGGTCAGGAGGCAGAGAAAAGCACGAACGAAACAAGGCACAAAAGGGAATTTTCTCTTCGTCCCCGGCTCCCCATGTTACTCACTCTGCGTCACGCCGGCGTCGAAGAGCACTAGCACTGCCCAATTCCTGGAAAATTTAGTCCCTTGCTCCAGAAATTTCTTTATCTCATAAGGCGCACGTGAGATAAAGCTTGGGCAGCCCGGTGGTGAGCAGGGTGCCCGCATCTGGTAATCCATGCGACTCCACTAGCCGCGATTTACTTTGGCCCAGACGCGACCCCTGGTCCTCAGAGATTGGAACTCGGTGGGTAGACATTGAGCACAGCACGCTTGAGCTCAACCTTCCGGCCTCGGCAAGGGACCGAAAGCCGTGTGGGGTGTCGGGGTTGGATTGGGCACAGGGGAAGACATGGGAAAGCAGTCGGGATGTCAGTCTGTCTCATAGCTTACTTGTTCTGAGATGAGAATGACTTGGTCTGACGAGCCACTGATTTCTCGTGATTCTGGCTGTGCCAATAGCGCGGGATGTGTCCAATACGTGTGTAATGTGTAATATCCATGAGTTCGACACCCACGCTCTTTCTCCCGACCTTCACATCCCATCCCGCATAACCCCCATCCCCAAGAACATCCCCAGAGCTGAAAGCGGATCTCGGCCAGAAGCGAACTGGCCCTTCGGGGGTCCAACTTGGTCCAATTGCGTGATCGCCCGGCACCCTCGCGCCATGCCGCTTCCGTTTCCCCCATGTCCAAGAAAGTCCAAGAAACCCACCCAGCATCCATCCAACACGCCAACCAGCCGCGGTGAGGTGCGCCTGCAGATGGGTGGCCGGCAGAGGGCCTGGAAGCATGCAGCTGCTGCTCACCTGCCTACGTGGGCCGTCTAGTTAGGCGGCGGCAGAGAGACCAGGCCGAAGAGGTTGCACGCGTCAAAAAAAAAAAAGCCTGGCAGTGGCGGTAGAGACGGACGAGCCCTTCTCTTCTCTTTTCCTTCTTGATGCTTCCCCGGATTTTGCATGTTTGACCGAGACATGTCAATTTTGACGGCCCCGTCCATCATCCCCTGCCAGCGTCGGATCCCGCTGCCCAACCCAGGCCAGGCCCAGTCCCAGTCCCAGTCCAGCATGTTCAGGCTCTACGAAGTCGACCCTGACGCAGACACACTGCTGATCGTGCCTGCACCGTCAGCTCCGTTTGCGGAGTGGGACGGCAGCACCCACCGCAAGAGCTCTGAATTGGCCAATGGGACCGTCCCCAACGGTCATCGCGACGCTTTCCAGAATCAGCCCAACGGAGCAAGCGCTCACGGCCACGGCCAGAAGGGCGTAAATGGCGTCAACGGGCTGGCCAACGGCCTCTTTGAGCTGTCCCTCAACGGCACCCTCTCCCCGCCGCTCCCGGAGATGCGCATCAAGGTCTCGTCCAAGCACCTGAGCCTCGCGTCGCGCCACTTCAGCACCAGGGTCCGCCATGGCGGCGGCGGCGGCGACCACGCCCCCGTCCAGCCCGACGGCCGCGTGCACGTGCGTCTCGACGACGGCGCCGTCGACCCGTCCGCCGCCGTCGTCGTCATGAACATCATCCACGGCCGCGGCCGCAAGGTGCCCCGCTTCCTGGACCTCGACGCCCTGGCCAAGGTCGCCGTCTTCGTCGACCGCTACCGCTGCCACGACGCCGTCGAGGCCTACGCGGACCGCTGGGTGGGGAACCTGCAGCAGCAGCGGCTTGACGAGGGCGGCAGCGGCCTGCCCGGGGTCTACTGCCGGGACCTGGTGCTCTGGATCTACGTCTCGTACGTCTTTCACCAGCCTGACCTATTCAAGCGCGCCACCGCCGTTGCCATCTCCAAGAGCAGCGGGCCCATCTCGAGCCTGGGACTGCCAATACGAGAAAAGATCATTAGTAAGTCTCTGACCTTTGTGCGGGTATCGGCCGTCTAGTCTCCCAACCCCAGCCTATATTCTATGTTGCACAAGGACAAACGCTGACCAGCCCACTTGCAGGAAGCATCAACAACCAGAGGCAAGAGCTCATCATCCAGGCCGTCACCATCATCCGCGACGCCCTCGGCTCCGACAACAGCGTCAAGAGCCCCTCTCCCACGCCCGTCTGCACCATCGGCTGCGACTCGTTCTTGCGTACAGCCTTTGCCCAGTCCCTGGCCCGGTCCTGCGGCATCACGGCCGAGTCGTCGCCCAAGGCCCTGGCGGCGGGCGTCGACTTCGATGCCATCGCGGCCGCCGCGCGCGAGGTCGAGGAGACCCACGAGCGGTGGCACGCCAACGTCGGACCCCTCTTTGCCGCCGCCCTGTCTTTCTCTAGCAAGCCCAGGAAGCGCAAGGCGCCCAACGCCAGCAGCCAGGCTGGCGGCGGCGGCGGCGGCGTCCCCGCCCCCGTACACGACGATCCAAGGCAGCCGCAGACGCACCAGCCCGACAGTTGCGTCACGAGGATGCAGCTCACCCCCGCCCTCCGAGACATGGAGGCGCAGATAGGTGGGCTGGAGTTGGAAAGCAGCCTAGGCTACCTGCTGTACTAGAGAGTAGGCAGCATGTGAATATGGTCTGCTCAGTTGTTTGTAGTCCCTCCCCCTCACATAATTGCCTCGCTTAGAGGTTAATTTCATGGCAAGGCTGCCGACCCTCCGTCTTGGCTCGCATTATGAATACACTCTCCGTTTGCTTTTCCCCCCATGCGTCCTTTCTAGCCACGTCGTATTCGTGTGAAGCCAATGCAGGTGCCCGAGACTCCTTGCCTCATCACATGCGCGAGTGCCCAACTAGTCAGTCTCCGCTTCTTGACTTCTCTGCTCGTCACTGCGGACATTCAAGGCCTATCCTCCCAGTCCCCATGGGTACTTAACCGCGTCCAAATCCAGAAACCCAAATCAGAAAACTCTCTCCTCTTCACACCACCTCCTTCATTTTCACACATCCCCTTCCTCTTATACTGACTCTTCTCCTTCCCCTCACATCGACTCCTCCTCTCCTCCCTCCAGCCCCCTTCTCATCTATACGGACACCAATTCATATATAGCCATCCACTTCACAAACAGAAACCACGATGCTGTGTGGCACCCTGCTGGCGCGCGGTCAATGACGGACCACTCGTCTCTCCCGGGGCATCAACCCCAGATCCTGAGGCTACATTGTGACAGACCACCCACCTCTCCCGCGCTTCACCTGGCCCCCGACTACCCACTCAGGGCGGAGTTCGCCGCCCAGGAGGAACTGCAAGGCCCCTCGTTACCAGCTATAATGCCTGACTACTTGCCCTTCCATGTCGTAACTGGTGGCCTGGTCTAAGCTTGGGTGAGTCTGAGCCTGATTTCTTTTTTTGCATCTTTGCTGCTACTCCACTGACATGACACCATGGGGACCCGAGTTCTCGAACCGCCTTGCCCTAGGTGTCAGCTCGCCATCAAGCCCATGAACCACGTCACGACTACAAGCAACCAGAACCAAGCATTGCACCCCACGATCCACTCCCTCCCTTGGCTCCCTCAGTTACGGCAGCTTGCCCCTCAAACGTTTCCAAACGAACGAGCTGATTGTTATCACCGCCTTGCTTCTTTGCCTGGTTGCAAGCCAGCTCTCGCTGGAGCGGTCTGGCTAGGTAGGCGCCATTGCGCTTAACAGTGAACAAAGAAACATGGGCACTTCAGCTGCCGTCGTTCCTCCCCTTCATGGGATGGCCGATTCGAATGATCTATTACTCTTTAAACAACCAGCAATTACACATCTTACCCTTTTCCGTTTCCCCTTTTCCTTCCCCAATTTGCACAATCCAAATCTCTACCCTCAACATCAACTCTCATCCACCTGGCTCAGCTCACACTCAAGCCTTCAACCACCCTATATCAAACGCAACACCCCCGCCAACATTCGTCATAGACATGGAATCTACAGCACAAGCATGCACCAATCTCCGTTGCAGACGCAGCGCAATCAGGGGCGGGATTTTCTGCAAACATTACCGTTCCATGACGAATCACGGGGTGCAGACCCTCGACGCTTGGCCCAAGGTTAGTCAGGGTCCGGCTCACCCCGACCTCTGCCGCCTTTCCACCCAGCACGGCTCCATCATTCTCGGATTCCGCGCACCAGAGATGCACTAACTTTGTTCGAGCCGTGCCCGGTGGCGCGCGCCAGGGGCCCATGGCGTGACTTCATTGCCTCCAAGGAGATTCCGTGTAAATGCAGACAAAACAACAGGAGCTGTCTAGGTACCCCGGCGCACACACCTCCCAGAGGCTGATGGGCGACAGCGGCGAGGGCAGGTTCGCGTCAGCCCAGGATGGAGCCGCAGGGGGGGACAGCGAGATCGAGATGAAGAAGCGCAGCATTTCGGGTACGAGACGCATCGTCCTTGCCGCCGGGCATAACGTAGCAATCTCAACACCCAAGCACGGTGTGCGTCCCTGGCTTCACCGATGCTGGTCGCTGCCGCGAATGGCATTCCGGTCCTTTTTCACGCCGACCACTGCGGGTCCCTCGAGGTCATCAGGGCCCTTCTAGTTTGGGGGTTTAACGCGAACGCCCGGTACAGGGAGCTGGGCAACATGCCTTTTACGCACGCGATCGCGGTCGGCCGAAGCTTTGAGATCGCGACCTTTTTGGCCGAGCGTTCCGCATACCTGGGCAGCGCCAGAGACGCCGGTAAGATGGCCCGTTGTGGAAGTTGAACGCAGTACATATTTGGTGGGTTGCGGACGTGCCCGCCGTGCATTTCGAAGGTTGACCCAGCTGTCCGTGTCGGCCTGCCACCCGTTGAAGAATAGCCAGCGGGCGAACTTGTGGTCGGAAGTCTCAGCGGCGACGGCGATGAAGACGATGGTCCGCCGCCTGATAAATAAGGCGTTGGAGCACCCCTACGCCTAATGGTGGCAGCCCCGCGAGGAGGCATCAGATGAGAACTGGAGCAGATGCTGAGGATGGGTGAGCTGGCACCGGAGCCCACTGCCGAGGAGGCAGAGTGCGGCCACCCCAAGCGACCTGGAATCGGTTGGCAAGCATTAGGTGCAGTTTTCCCATATTTCCTTCAAGGGTTTGTTGCGGGTCCTCCAACCGCTTTGGAGGCCGGGCAGCCCAACGGCACTCAAGGGGATGGCACTCAAGGGGATGGGCGCTCCTCCCATTCCCTCACACCAAGTCCGAACTGACAAGTCCGTACTAACAACACTCACCTCGATCGCCACAGCACATGCAGAGACAAGAACCGCACGCTCTGGCGCCCGCCTCTGGCTCCGGCGTCGAGCAGTTGGAGTATCCTGCGAATCTCGAAACGGTCGAGATCCGGGGCGGGGAAGTACCCATTGCATACTGCATCGCGCTGCTGTCTCGGCAGCAGCGCGCAATCCGCAACCTCAAAATTGGAGGCCGGCGCGGCCGCCTTGGCGATGCCTCGCTCCAAATCCTACATGAAAGCAATTCCAATGGCCACATGTCGGCCCATCACCCGGGATCGGGTCGGGTGCATGGTGGAAGGTTGGCAATGTCTAATGATATCGAAATGCAGACGCTCCCTTCACGGGCCAGGGACGAGCCCATCCTAGCCCAGAACGCCGCCAGGCGTGGCGGGCACGTCAATGGCGCGGCGCCGAAGGGGCGAAGATATCCTCGCCACCACCGCTTGGTTGCGTCGACTTCGTCACTCAAGGCGACGCGCCATCTATCCAAGAAATTGTGTATCCGAGGCTCACCAACATCCCCGCCGCCATTGGTCACCTGCTCCTGCCCGTGCGGGAGAGAGAGCTCGCGGGGGGCGTGAGCGGCACCATCTTCAGCTCCGCTGGCTGGTACGATGCCACGGAGTAGGGTGAGCCTGTTGGGCGGCGTTATCATGATCGGTGACCTGGAGCTGGTGCGGCTGCTTCTATGCGCCAAAACGGCCTAAATTTGGTAGGAGCGTGAGGTGATGCCCTGGCCGTGATTTCAGCCGCGTCAAGCTGCGTCAGGCTGGTGTCTGGCCTGGTGGCCGAGACGACACTTTTGTTGCGCTCGCTCCAACACCCACATCGTGGAGATGGACCGGCACAGACATGCACCAACCCCAACTGTGGGCACACAGGGCCAGTATCAACAATCATCTGTGACCAAGGCCAGCGGGTATGTATCTCTGGACCCTGACAACGCCGGCTGTCTCCAGCACGAAAGATACCAAGCTAAAGCGATGAGCTGGATAATAGTCTCCAGCAACCACGACTGCAGACCTGATAACGCCCCCGATCGCGGCAGACATATGGTAAGCCTTCCGACACCATGAAGCGGTCTCCCAGCTTGGCAGCTCTTTGCTGACAGGGTAGACGCAAAGTCTAGCAGAGCCACGAGGCCCTGGACATGCCAAACGTCATACTCGCCCGCTAGCGCACGGGGGCTGGACATCAAGTGATGGCCGGTCCTAGTCTTGTCGCCGAAATGAGCACCGATCGCGGCCACGAAGTTAATCCTGCAGACCATCCACCAACCACCACCGGCGGGCGCCGACATGCTCGATGGACCCGCGACCGGCATAGTCACCCCTTGCATGGTCGCCGCGGATAACATTCACCGCTGGCTTCCCATGGAGGCCTGGCTGGCTTTGTACGCGGTGCTCGAGCAAAGTCAAAAAAGTCCGCCGCGCGACCACCTTCTCATTGGCCGGCCGGCCCAACGTGGAGAAGTATACAGCGCCTTGCACGTCTTCATCCATGAGCAATGCGCTGCTCATCAAGGCACCTCAGCTCGACGGCCCGGCCAAAGTCCCCGGGAGACTTTGAGGATTGAGGTTAGTCATCGGTTCCACAGCCCCAGAGACGTGCTGTCCGTCAAGGCGCCCAAGTTAACCGCAACTTCTTCATCAGCTGGCTTGCACTCTAGTTTTGCAGTATATCAAGGGCGATGCTGCCTCCGTCCTTCGTCTTTTCACCTTCCCCCCTTTCCCATCAGTCAATCCTCCTTTCCAACCTTGGTTAACTGATACCACTCTCGGCCTTCTTCTTTCCAATTTGTCCCTTCCCGCCTTTTCCGAGCCTGCTCGGGTTGCCATCCGGCCTCCATCTTTCCAATCCATCCTATATACACCCATCGAACCTACTGTCGAGTATGTGGATGCGTACGAGCTAAGCCCCTGCCCGATGTTCCGTAAGTCGATATATAAGAAGCTGCTGCTGATTGATTTCCTATCCTGTTTTTAGCCCACTTGTTTCGGATCAAGCATCACGGCATTTTTCAAGAATCATCCGTCGCGCAAGTAAGCCTTCCTTCCCTTTCTGGCGATCCGCACACCAAGCTCATCATAACCTACCTAGCGGAGAACCTAACCCCGGGGTGATACTGCAGACGGTGCATCATTCGCCGGCACATACAGGCACTGTGCCCGATGTCATGCGTCATTCAGGTTGGCTTCGGCTAGGACACGATGCGACAGTTCGGCTGAGAGAGGAGGATCTGAAGGACCTGGCCTTGAAGGGCGCCCACTGCGATGACTTCAACCTTGGCTGCCAACCCCAACGACGACGAGGAGATTTCCGAGACCGTCCAGGACCACAGCCGTCCCGCATGTTGGGACCAATACCATCGCAGGGGGCATCGTCTTCGGATAGGCGAGGGGCAAGCCAAGATTCTCGAGATGGTCCAGAACCCCATCACCACGGCATATTGAGTCCAACACCATCGGCAAAGGGATCATCTTCGGCCGGGCGGTCGGCGATCACAAGATGCTCGAAGCGTGCCGCCAAGCTCTAGGCACAGAGTGCGTGGACACTGACGTCGCTATCCTCGCAACATCAGCAGTTACCATTTTGCACTTAGCTGGTCGCCTCGCCTGGTGCTAGCCAGCACCTCTCCACCATGCTACAGAAGACGGGGTGTGGACCCATGAGGAGTTCTCACCACAACTGGCGGACCTGTGAAGTCCACAGGACCTGGCTGCAGCCGGGAACGATGGTTATTCGAGCCAACAGGATGGCGGCGGCGTCGGCTCCAACCAGCAGTTCGGACGGAAAATGCTCCTGAGCGGATACCTGTGGATCCGCTGCGACTGGGAGAGGTCGCTACTCCCGCGGTGGGCGGCACCGGCGTGGCTGCGGGGTGGCGTCCCATATAAGGCAAAGCCCGGCTTTGGAGTTGTCCGTCTCCCGCTCCCAGCTTCCAACGTCTGCAGAGAACGATCGTCTCTTGATCGATATGATCGGTCTTTGACCCGCGGGCGAGCTTTCCACCTTTCTACGCGTACGGCTTCAAAGCCAAGGAGCAAGGGCAGACGTGGGTGGCGGTACACTTCCGTGTCTGGCCCCTGCTGGCTCCAAAAGCCACGTGCGACCCGTTCCCTCGACGTAACGATTCACCAACAAGGGAGAAGCCCCTGCGTGAGCACGTTATAATAAGGTGCGTGTGAGGCTGTTGCTCGCATACTCCCTCCCCCCATCTGTTTCACCAGCTGACCCATGCCCCTTTTGCTCAGGGACCCCCTACACACCAGAGTGGTGCTGCTTCTAAGCTCCGAACCCGTTCGACTCCCCGAGGTCGCTGTTTCGGCAACCCGAGTCCGACCCCGGCCCAGCCAGAAGCGGCAATGCTTCAGCGTGCGGGTTTGGGTTCGGAGTTATGGATCGGAAAGTGTACGAGTACTTGGAGGGGTGGCAGGCTGTCACTGCAGCTGGACGCCATCAAACTCCCTCCAATGGGACGACAAACCCTCTAGCCCCTGCAGCACTCTCCTAAACCAGGCGCTGGAAGGCTGCGGCGATGCGAGCTGGGCCACATTCGAGATGCATAATGCGCACGTCCACATCCCAATCACATAACCACCAAATATCTACAACGCTCAAATTCTACCTCGCGACCTTGGTCCGCCGCCTGATACCTCGGTCCGCCGAGGAAGCGCTCGCCGAGGATTGGGAGGTTATCTCCGATCCAGTGCCTGGAAAAAGCACACCCACCGGCTGGTAACCAACAGCAGTGACTGGATGCTGGAGGCGCGCCAGCTACTCGCGATCGAGCTTTGGATGCCGCCTAAGCGCCCGGTGCGCTTCGCTAGATGACCCCCCCATCACCGGCCCAGCATGCCTGCCTTGCGCAGCGTGCTTGCACAACCTCCAGAACTACGGCAAGCGAAAACGCGCTCGTCAAGTCCTGGGGCGCGGCAACAAAGGGCGGAGCCTGACCGAGTCTCCAATACGCCCAAATGGAAGAGAATGGCGACCCGACCGCGCGCGCCGGGGGGCGAGGAGGAGGAAGGTGCTATGGGCCAGCGATCCGATACCACCTCCGGGATCCACCCTGGTTGCTATTATCTACGCCTTGAGCGACCCCGCGTCATGGACTACTCGCCGACCAGTGCGGTCGACAGCCGCGGTCGTGATTTGACTCTTCAGAAACCCGACCAGGCCCTCGCCAGCGGGGTCGCATGGCTTCACCCGCTAGCCGATCGGGGCGTGTCGCATCACCTTCAACCGCCGTCGAGTCAACGCGGGGTACGTCCGCGTCATTCCGCCCTATCTTAGCTTTGACGCCTTCGATGACGAGTGCGACGAGGCCAAGAAGAAACTGCCGGTCCCGGACAAGAAGGTGCTCGCCAAACAAGCCGACAAGTTGGCGAAACGGTGGCACGCGGAAAAGGCGCAGGTAGTCCTCGACCCGGCCAAATGGGCGCGGCAAAATCGAGCTGTCGTTCAGGATTCGGACGGGGGTTCTCCCTTGTCGGCTCCCGCGTCCGAGGGAGAGTCGGAACTGGGTCGGTTCCAGGAGCCGTACCTGCCATTGGATAGCAAATTCGACAGGACTATGCAGTGTTCGCTAGCCCTAGAGTTTCTATCCAATGCGGCTCCTGGAGAACGACCCACGTTCGTGTACGGGTCAAGTAAGCGGGAAAAGGTTCCCGACGAGTGGAAGACGGCAAGCCCACGCCCCCCAAGGCGGAACGTATGGCCCCTTGGAAGTCTAAGAGTTTGACGAGCCCTTCTTGGAAGTGTCGTCTGACGAGGACGAGGATGAGGATGAGGTGCCACCGCTTCCGAGGAACAGACGGAGGGAGGAGGCGCTTCTCGATTACGAGTCTGATTCCGACCTGGAATAATGTTGTTGTATATAGTGCGCGGCGATATTCAAATCCAAAGCGGAGATAATTAATCGGGCATCTTTTACAAAATATGCTACGCGGTGAAGTCCCTTCCAAAGGTCTTACTGTGCAGCCATCAAGAATTAATTAGTACGGCCGCGCAGCTAGACACTTAACTTTATTATAGCTGCACAAACATGAAGAGTTAGTTGATACGGTTGCGCGGCCAGACCCTTAACTTTATTATAGCTGCACAGACATGCAAATATTCATACCGGCTGCGCAACACTATGGTTTAACTCCGATTTGCTGCACCTTACTTTATTACATGATAAATCGGCCTAACGACGTTATGTTTCCTATAAATATACATTAATATCCGAAATTACAGTTTCTTTTGTCCAGGACAGTATACATTACGATAAAAACCTCGTTTTTTAACTCCGCCAAATAATATTATAACATAAGCATTTACACGTGTTCCTAATAACTTATATGGTAGAATGTCCTTCCCCATACCGCCCCCAGGTACCGTCTTATACAGCCGACGACCCATCAGGTTCGATGGGCGATGAGGTGACTGACTTGATGGCGGCCTGGTAGCCTTTTGTCGACACCACCGACGAGCTGACTGGGCTGGTGAAGGGCTTGGGGATTTAAGCCCCCGGGTTGGGATGGTGGCAGATCCTCTGGCGAATCCTCTGCTTGCGCGGTGGGCACTAGTCCGCTGAGCTTTCTTTCCTGCCTTTCTCTGGCTCTGCTACGGCCGGCTGACGGGACCCCCCCTCCTTAATTCTATTCCCGAATGGGCTGTTGGATCCTGCAAGGTGAAAGTGGGTGGGGTGTTTGCAATACCAAAGAACCAGGGCTAGCAAACCAACTGGTTCCTATCGACACCTCACTTGTCTTCCCCCAGCAACTTGACTCTTCCCAATGGCCTGCGAAACTCGACACCCCGGCGGGATCGGGGATGATGGCCGTGCTCAAGGAGGCCCACGTCTCGTTCAAGAAGCAAGACAGACGGAATCCGCTACGAGGGGGGGGGGGGGGGGGGGTTGCTCTTGATCCCGGTCAGTTACCCAGCCATCTGCCTCGCTCTGGTTCACCCGGAGCCGCAGGAAGAGGCCCCCCAATCAGGCTCCCCCGGAGTCGGTCATCGGCCAGACTTCCTCGATGCTGCAGGAGCTGTGGGACGAGATTTCCCATGCCTTGTCGACAGATCCTGAGGACTACGACACAGACTACTGAGACCCGCCGCGGGCATGGTTTGCGCGTGCGGTGCTCGGTCGGGACGCCGGCGCTGCGCAACTCCGGCTCCGAGTAGGTGGTGTAGCTACCAGTGATGATGAGTGAGTAGTACTACAGTCGTGCTGGAGGATTCTTTTGGCATGTTGCAATCGGCTCGCTGCCTGGCCGGGACTCGCACACCAGATCTGAGCCCATCCTGTCCTCCCTTGCCTTGGTCGATGCCGGGGAAATGGGCGAGTAGGAGATCAGTTGGCCGGCATGGCAACTTCGTAGGCAGTCCCCTTAAAGTTATCGCAAAGCAACGAGGGACCGAGTTAGACCAACAATTACTGGCTATAGCAACAGATATCTACATTTGCCCAGCAAAAGAAACTCAAGATTGAACAAAACAAACCAGAAAACCAGCAAAACCCAGATTTTGCAACGGCCAGCTTATCCACAGCTGCCTGGGGTATCTTCATTTCTACTCCAACAAAAGATTTGCCATGCCTGGCGGGAAGCAGCAAGTGACCCACCGATCCCGTTTCCCTAGGGGGGGGGGGGAGTCGCCCGAGAAGGAGCCGCCTACTCCTCCTCGGGGACCTCCTCAACGGTCCCGATCTCGCGTTCCTTGAACGGGGACGGCGTCGGGCGGAAAAAGCGCGAGAACTAGTCCTCTTTCCTCTGTAGGTTTCCCGCCAGGTTCATGTGCATCATGGCGTTGTGACTCCAGCCTTCGCCATCGTCGGGCCTGACGGCGCCGAGGTGGTTGGAGCCACCGCCAAACATGTTTCCGTCGTCCCAGTCCATCGACTCCCGCCCGTCAACGCCTGGGAGGCGGAGCTGCGGCGGTCCCGACGACTGAGACGCGTACGGCTGCTGGTGGTGCATCGTCGAGGTTGGGCGGCCATCGAGTCTGAGGTTCTCGACGTCTGTCAGGTCATACGTGCTCCTGGAATGCACAAGACGCTGGCCGGCCTGTGCCCTGGTCGGCGTGGTCTCGGAACCGTTGTCCCCGCCGGGCGGGAAGTCGGCCGGCATCTCGGCGATCATCAGACCCGAATGGACTCCGTTGCCGCCGCCAACCTGGTCATAGCCGTGGCTGTAACTCATCCGCCTGCCGTTGTCGAACGCGTGCTCAAGCTCGCGCTGCTCTGGGATCTGCGCCGCACGCTCCATGTTACGCAGGCTTAATGTCGGGCCGCCGGCGAGAGCTGGGCCTCCCGAGGACCTGTGGCTGCTCATGCTGACGCGGTGGAGCTCGTTGGCTGCTGCTGCCGCTGCGGCCGAGTTTTCCAAGGGACCTTCCTGGATGGCGTCCATGTCTTTGATAGCCCACTGCGCGATCGTCGACATCTTGCGAGACACCCAACCTGCGAGAATCTTGCCACGTTGCTTCTCACCCAGGCGCGAGCGCGGGAACACCCCTTTGGACACAAACGCCACAATATCGACGATGATCTGATGCTCGTTCAGGATAGAGTTGACGATGACTGGAACGAGAGAAGCTAGAAACGCCTTGCGGCTGACCTCGACGAGTACGACGACGAGCCCTCCGGCTTGGAACACGGCGCTGGGGACAGGACAGCGTCAAGTCAGTGACTTGTCCTCTGGTTAAAAGACGTGGAATTTCGGAAAAAAGGACAAACTTACCATCCTTGAGGAACGATGCACCGGTGCGCTCGCTCAACTGTGTTCTCAATGTCCATGGGGAAGTGGCTCAGACCGTTGACCTCAAACGTCTCGCCGATGTTGCCGAGGACAAACAGGACCTGCATGTCGACTTGGGCGCCACCAGGACCAATAGGCCTGCTGACGTTATGAAGGAAGCCCAAGTCTCCGGTGCGGACGTAGCGAATGCCCGGGTCGCCGTCGAGAGTGCGGCCATCGAAGCGCTCGGCGTCAAAGGCGTCCCTGGAGCCGTAGAATGATTTGACGCACGCCTCGGAATCGACCCAGATCTCTCCATACTCGCCGTCGCTGCACAATAGTCTACTCTCGGGGTTGACGATGGCGATCTGCGTCGACACTGGGACCATGCCTGAATCCTGCACGAGCAGTGCGCGCGGATCCGTGTCGGGGTCAACGGGAACAACCAGACCACGTCTGAGTTCTCGCGTGTCCAGCCACAGCTCTATGGGCTCGATGCACATGTACGAACGCGACGCGATCATGGGGTTGAGAACGTGGGAATAGACCGTGTTGATGGCCGTGCGGTCGAGACTCGCAGCTGCGAAGTGAAGTCGGACCTTCTGAAACACGTCGACTCTGGGGCGGGCGTCGGCCGAAATCATCATGTTCTTGAGCTCGTGGAGGGCGAAGCCCTTTGCCGGCATGGTGCTCATAGCGTGGTCCAGCATCTGCGGTGTCGCATACGTGTCCTTGATCTTGTAGCGCGACAGGATATGGAACAGGCAGACGGGGTTCTGTGCGAACTCGACAGGCGACAGCAGGTACGTGGGCGTGCCGATATAGATGCCCATCAGGCACGAGTGGATGAAGCCCAGACCGGTAGTGCTCCTGACACATCCAAGGACGGGGCGTGAGCTCGTCATCTGGCACGTCTCCTTCTGTACCTTGCACATTCCAAGGATGGTGTCGTGGCCGAGCTGGACGGCCAGTCGGCGTTGGTCCGGCGTCCAGTAGGTCCAGATGATGACGGGATATCCAGGCTGTACCCAGGCAGGGTCCATGGTGAGTCCGAGGTCTCTCAGGCCACTGTTCTGCTTGGGCGGCCGCGAGGTGTTGTAGACACTGGGCACCGTAACCCTGAGCACCTGGGCCGACTGCTTGATGTGCTGCGAGACAGGCTTCATCTTGAGAAGGTGGTCAACATCCTGGTTGACCAGAACCGCCTTGACGCTGTAGTCGTTGACGAGGTGCAAGAATGCGGGCACATCCTCAGACAGCCTGTTCTGGTCCATGGGCGGGATCGGGATCACGATGGCGCCGAGGTTGATGCAGGCGTGGATTGCAAAGGCAAAATCCTCCGAGTGCGTGTACATGAGAACTATGTGGTCGCCGGCACGTATCTTGACCTTATTCTTGAGATACATGGCAACGGCTGCCACCTTCATGTCGAACTTCTTCCACGTGATGCCCTTGCCTTCCTTGCCACGACCGTCGACAGTGCAGTACGACAGCTCCTCGGGCTGGCGGGCGACGCGCCACTGGATCAAGTCGGTGATGCTCGAGAAGTTGTTGAGCGGCGTCGACGTACGGTCGTCAATAACGACTTCACGCCGGTCTATTCCCGAGTATTGCTTCTCGTTGTGCATCAGCAGCTCCTGCCGCGACATGGTAGCCATGGGCGACCAGATGCCGCCAATAGGGTCGATGCCGATGGGCAGGTTCAGCACGGCGTGCTCAACCCCGAACTTGACATGTGCCGAAGGTAGCTGACCAGAGTCAAAATCCCTGCGACACAGCATGTTGCCGATGTCGCGACGGCCGTTCTTGGTCACTCTGGGCAGCGCGTTTGGGGCCGTTGTGAGAACGCAGTAGACGCGGAGATGGTGCTCCTGCAGCAGCACGTCCATGCACCGCTCGGCGAGCGAGTCCAGGAGTGCCTTGTCCAGCTGGCGAGGCGGGCCGCCTGCTGTGGCTGGCGCTGTCGATGCCGCTTGAGACTCGAGCACGACGACGGGCAGATGTTCATCATTGACAAAGACGTCGAAGGCCGAGCAGGCGAAGATCTTGGGAACGTTGCGCAGGATACTGACGACGATGTGCTGGACGAAAAAGTAGCGGTGCTCGGCAGCGATCTCGTGGCCGTGCTCGACCCACTCGACTTTCTGCCGGATACGGTCTTCGTAGAGACCCAACACAAAGATCTTGCCTTCGATAACTGTGCCGAGGAGGCCGGTGCGCAAGAACTCGGGCTCGATAGCCGTTGGAGTCGGGTCACCGGGCTCAAACTTATAGGGCCGCGCGTGGAATATCTGCTCCGTATGCTTAGGCAGCGCCCAGAAGCCGCCCGAAAGCGAGGGCGAGTCGACCCAGATCTCGCCGATGGCGTGTGGCGATGTCAGCAAGCCCGTCTCTGGGTCAACAACAGCCATGGTCGCGTCCGGGATGGGATATCCGAACGCGCCGACGCGGACTGTGTTTGGGTCGCCAGCCTTCTTGCGCGCCTCCTCACCGATGGCCACTACGACCACCTCGTTGGTCTTGAGGGCTTCGCGGTCAAGCAGGACCTCACTCAGCTCGTTCTTAGCGTGCTGCTCCGTCGTGTTGGTCGTGCCGCCACCCAGCAGGCTTCCAAAGCCGTTGGACTGCGTCGACTTTTCTTTCTCCTTCTCCTCTTTCTCCTCTCCCGAGTCCTTCTCCTCCTCGTCGCCCAAGGTGAGCTTCAGCGGACAACCCATGCGCTCTTCGCCGCCAAGCCAGTCGCGCACGCTAATGACCATCCCGCCATGCTCTGGCAGGCAGAGCATCGGGGCGACTACCTCGCGAGCTCGAGGGTTGCGAAGGGGTCTCAGCCAGCGGTCGGCCAGAAGCTCGTGGAATTCGCCGTCCACGGTGAGGGTATCAATCAGACAGAGCTTGACTGTTTGGAAGTTGGGCTCCATGCCCTTCTTGTAATTCCTCGTCGTCATGGGGTCTTGCTGGTAGTTGTACACGGCACGGCGCAGGCCGGGGTAGTCGGCAACCATCAGGGTCGCCTTGTACTTGGTTATGAGGTGGGCGTAGAGACCCGGCACGTCCACCGTCTTGTTCTCCAGCCAGACCATAGTGTGGCCGCCGTACACAGTCAGAAGCACGCCAAGAATCATGCCAATGCCCTGCCTGGGGTCGAGGTACGAGAGCAGAATCTCGCCGCTCGCACCGCCGCCGATCAGCTTGCCGCTGCGATCCCTGAGCGACGAGGTGCTGAAAGTATCCGCGGGTCCAGTGCTTGGGACTGTTGATATGACGGCACTCATACACGCCATTTGGTGCATGATGGTGCGGTGGCTCAGCACAACTCCCCGCAGGTCGCCCGTCGGGGCGCGAGAGAATTCGATGTAGGCGAGATCTGGGAGTGACAGCGGCGGGATGTCCTCCTTGCGTTTCGGGTGGTAGCTGCCAAACTCGTTAGTCTTCCACCACTCGACCCCCTTGGGCCAAGTAAGCTTGTGCGTCGTGATGTCACGCTGGAATGTCTTGAGGTTGTTCTCGGTCGTGAGGGCCAGGTGGGCCTGTGTTGAGGTCAGGATCAGGTTGAGCTTCTGGTGGTCCTGAAAGTCGTTGATGGGGACGGCAACAACGCCCGCGATAAAGCAGCCCAGCAGGGCAATAGCAAACTCGATGATCTCGCTGTCCCTGTATATCAGGGCGACACGGTCGCCTCGATAGAGTGAGCTCTTGTCTCTGATCACCTGCGCCACCTTCTCGGCGCGGGAGGCTAGCTTCTCCCATGTGATGGAGGCGATCTCCTTGCCCCTGCTGTCGAGGACCCAGTAGGCGGGCGACTTGGCCAGGGTGCGGCCGCGATGCCTCAGCACGGCCGCGATGTTGTCAAACTTGGACATGGGAGTGTTGCTATCGTGCGGGTCGTGGATGGCGAAAGGCAATTCGCGTGGCTCTAGAGGCAGCTGATACTCGAGCGCGGCGGGCGGAGGGAGGTCGTTGGCCGTCAGCATGGGTGGCGCCATGGCGGCGGTAGGCGAGAAGGCGTCGCTCGACGAGTAGCGCTGAGGCCCGCCGTACTCGCCCTGCTGGCCCTGGTCGTACGCCTGCTGGCCTTGGTCGTACGCCTGCTGGCCTTGGTCGTACGCCTGCTGGCCTTGGTCGTACGCCTGCTGGCCGGCAAAGTCTTGGAAGTAGCCCTGAGAGTCCAGCAACGTGCCTGTCCTGCTGTCGTAGTGGCCCTGCTGGAGGTGGTCACCATAGCCTCCTGCGTGCTGTTCGGGGTTGAATGCGTAGTCTGTTGAGACCATGGTGCCCGTCCTCGATGGGTCGGCAGCGGACGGTTGACCCAGGCCGGGAGCGAGAAAGAGCGAGTCGCGAGGCTTCATCTGGGGCCTCTGGTCGGCGAGGGGGCCACCAGGCCGCAGCAGAGTCGCAGGATGCTGCTGGTCCGGGGAGTCATACTGGGAATATCCGTAGGGGGACTGCGGGTGGCCGGCCGAGGGGGATGACATGCTCGTCGGGGAGTAGGGGCCCGCGTCGTTCGAATGGGAATTTAGCGCGGCCAGCGAAGTCGCCCGATGGCCATCGCTGCCAGCCTGCGAGCCGTCATCCGCGGAGTGTATCCGGAGGGGACCCCGGCCCTCTGGGGCGGTTGCAACGGGGGCGCCCGGGCCAAGGTACTGCGACAGCAGCTGGGTTCGGCGTTTCTGGTATCTGCAGCGCACAAGCACGGGGCGGAGTCAGCAAACAGGTCGACACGCACATGGCGTTGCGGCGACAGGACCAATGGCACGGCTGCTCACCCCTTGGTAGTAATATCGCCTTCCTGTTTCTCGGCCAAGTCGACGCACAGAGGGCAAAGCCAGCGTTGGTTAGCAGGCGTCACAGCACAGCCAGGCACGCGGGGTGGGGTGAACGACTGGAATGAAGACGGGGAATCCAGGACTGACCTCGAGCTCCCTCTCCAGCTCATCCAGCTTCGCCTGCAACTCCGGATTGCGGTCGGCCATGTTCGCGACGGGTCGACTGCCGGGGATTTCGCGTCGCAGTCGGGGGTAAAGGGCCGCTCACTCGACTCCGACCGATGAAGCGCTGCGTGGTGGAGGCTGGTGAGGCGGCGACGGAAAAGGCGGCGGGTGAGTCCGGCCAGATCTCGTGACGTAGTTGGGGGCCAGTGCTAATGCAGACCAAACGCAGGCCAAATGCAGACCATTCAGGTCACCCTCGGCGCCCAAGAGAGGGGTCCATGGACCGGGGTAGGCGAGCGCTGGAGCCCCAGCCGTTGCAAGGGTGGGAGACGAGCAGCCGAGCGAGTGAGTGAGTTACAAGACGAGGCAGTGAGAAATCGTAAGCGCCAGGGGCTATCGTCGCACAGGTTCCTGACGGTGCTCCGGTACACAGTCCTGGGCTGCTTGATGGCTGCTGCGTGCTTGGGCTTGAGAGTTCCAGGTTGGCAATGGCCTGCAGAACCTGACGGTGTAGTGGAAGCGGGACGGGGGTGGGAGGCTGGAGGCCGGAGGCTGGACCGCTTTGCTATGACGTCCGTTTAGAGCTCCCCTGCCAAAGCTGCTCCCAGCAAGGTAGGTACGCCCAACTCAATTGCACGGATGTGATTGGAGAGCCGGCTGTTCCCCTCTCCTTCACGGCTCCTTCCTCCGTTGCTGGGCTCAATGTTGAAAGCCAAAAAATAGGAGGAGCATGGATGTTCTTGCGCGAGCCAAGGCCTGGATGCAGTAGCCGCAAAGATGGAAATCAGCTGATTTCTGCGTGCACTGGGAGCACAATCACGGTGCAATCAATCGCTTGCATGTATCTAACTCGGCCTGGATTACGGTATCCCTCATCTTAAATGCAGGACAGAGTAGTCACCGCAGCGGGCAGCAGGAATACTCAGTCACTTCAGCCCAGAAAAGGGAGTAGGGTGGCAGGCACCGCAGCCCAGATCCCTTCCCATCGGGCTAGTTCAGGAACGCCAAAGTTAAAAGAAGCAGCGGTTTCTGCAACCAGTCGGGATCGCCACCTACGAAAGGGCTGGATGTTTTCACCATTTCTACAGTGTCGGGTGTAAAGGGCATATCTCTGCCAGCCATGGAGCCCGCCCTTGCTGATTCTGCGACACTCGTGTCTCCCGTCTCAACTTATAACCATGTTATCTGCAAAGCCTTTCATTTCACAAATATGCAATCCCAAGTCCTTGAGATCCCGAGCCAATCCAGCCAGCTCGGGGTTATGAGACGGCCCCAGTGGATGTGGGTTGATCACGTGTCGAGAGACGGATCCACACTCCACAGCCAGAAAATTTTGCTTTAAAGATCTTCAAGCCGTCAAGATTGCTCTCTCCTTTTTTTTCTCCCTTTCTCAACATCCAACCCCTAATGCGACGGGATTCTCGCCACCCTCCATTCTCGGGGTCATGGCATCTCTCATGTGCCGGGTGTCAGTCAGTATGTGTTCTATGAAACAGGTAAGGCAGTGGCATGCAGCTTCTCGTTGCGGCTGATCGGCCATTCCCAGCCATTGTACGTTCTTTTCCTGTCTTTTTAAACCCCTCTCCCAAGTTCCTCGAATGATGAGATACACGCATTCACAGACCTGTTCTGAAATCCAATGTGGACGACATGCTTTACATCTCCTGACCCCTTCACCCGGATCACTTTGCACTTGACACTCATGGAATATGCAAGCTCCGGCGCTAACGCATATCAAGATAGTGTTCTACTTGGCGATCTTGACCTACTTTCGACCCGGCAAACCTCGACGGGGCTTTCGGGGGCTTGCTTTCAGGGCTTTGAGCCAGGCTCAGCGCAGTTCTTTGTCGGCTTGCTTGCTACAAAGACTCGAGCCGGGGTGGCGCTGCGGAATAATGCCCCGAGCCTTGGCCTCTCCGTGTAGGGCCCTTTGATATGGGGTCGTGGCTTTGTCTGCTGTTGTTTTCCTGATTGTTCTCGAGGAAAGTTGGCATGCCTATATAACAGATAGCCTCGACGCTGTTCTCTTGAAATGAATTCTCTCAATCTTATCCTCCTCCAAACGTCATTTTTCTGCCTTTCCGCAGTCGTAGCGCATTGCATTCATTCGTTTCAATATTTCACCAACATTCCATGTCTTCGCCCAACCCAACTACCAACGATCTTGTGGAGCAGGGCTCCTCACAGACCGATTTTGATCCCAATACCATCTTCGAGGGAGGCACTTTGGGTTCCGACGACGACCTATTCGGCGATGGCGATCTATTTGGCGACGGCGATCTGGACTGGATGAAAGACGCTCTCACACAATCTCGCAGCCAAGAGGTCGCCGCTGACTTCGTTCCCAGCTTCGGACCGGCTCCTACCTCGCCGGCACCAGCCGCGGCGCAGAACCCCCCGCCTTCCAACATATGTCTCAGCCTTCCGGCCACACAGCCCAGGGCTGTTGCACCGACGGTGCAGCAGAACTACCAACCCCCGGACGTCCTCTTTGGCCTTCCCGCCGTACCACCCAGCTCCGGCACCGCCGATGTGTCCTCTACCCAGGTGGGACACGCAGTCGCGGGAGCCCCCAACATCATTTCACCGAGGCCACAACGCCACGTTGCTGGCCCTCGCATCGCCGCAATGTATGGCCATGGTGCGTCGTCCCGGGCAGCCGCCCCTCTGGTGCCCGATGCATCGTCATTGGCCATGAACCAAGCCTGGGGCACCCAGTTTAGCTACATGCCCGACCTTGACATGCCCGACCTTGCCAGCTTTGCCGTACCGACCCAGCTGGCTGGAATGGCTATGCCGGCAACGAATCCCATTCCCAGGTACATGGCGGTTGGTCAAGGATCCCCGATGCGTGTCACTGGCCCTCCCGCAGCCAGAAGAAGCCATGTCAACAACTTTATGGCGCCAATGGCGCCGCCGCCGCCGCCACTGCCGAGGCGACTCAGCAGCGCTTCTACAGGCCAACGTCTTCCCATTATAGCTGGCAAGAAGCGCAAGGACCCTTTCGTTCACATCCAATACAATCCCAATTCTCCACCATCCGCTGGAAGGTCCTCGGCGCCCACGCAACGGGCCAATCCCTCGCCATCCGGGTCCTCGACGCCTAGCACCGCTGACCCTTTGCGTGAGCGCCAGAAGAAGGTGATGAGGCATCTTCGCATCGCCGAACCGGCCGATCGCCCGCTTGGTAGGATAAAGGCAGGGAACGACCCAAGCCTGTGGTACCCGGGCCTGGGGCGAAGGCTCGCGTCATGGGGCCCGCACGGCAAGTTCTCCTACAACGAATTCGGCGAGCTGAACTACAACATGCGGTTTGATGCCAAGGATTTTAGGGAATACCTCGGCAAGCCGGGGCTGCAGCTGCTCGTACAGAGGACGCCGACGTATCACAACTACCGCTACCCCGCCAAAGGGACGAGCGCCAAGTGCAGGTCCGTCAGCTGCCCCAACCGGCACGGCACCATCGAGAAGGGCCACCTGCGCGTGGCCTTTGTCGAGTACCCGGAGCTTTCGGGCACGCTGCTGGACCCGTTCCACTGCGCGGGGTACATGCACCTGTGGTGCCTCGAGTCCATGGCCGATGTCGTCGAGCTCGCGAGCGACGGCGACTTCTTCCGCTGCGACGACCGGGACCTTCCCTACGAGCCCAGCGAGCCCATGACGCTCAGCCAAGAGCACGCGGCGCGCAAGGCGTTCTACGAGTGGGTGGGCTACGAGAGGGCGGTGAAGCGCAAGACCGAGTACGAGATGAAGACCTTTGGCTACTGCACGCAGCCCTACAACTGGGCGTCGCGGGTCCAGCCGCACCGAAAAGGATCGTCCCTGACCGAGGCCATGTCCGAGGCCCTCGTCGAGAGCAAACCTCCCAGCTCCAAGGAGCTGCTGGTGCGCGGCGGCATCAGCATGAACTCGCACCATGGCAACCTGATCCTGCTCGAGGAGATGAGGCAGGTGAAGAGGGTCACGGATCGGGAGGATTTCGAGACCATCCACCTGGAGAGAGGCCGCGAAGCCGACCGCCGCAACTGGCCGAGGCGAGACAGGCAGGCGAGGTCCCAGTCGCCCCCGGCCCGCCGCCGCCCCGACGCGGCCACGTTCCGGGAGCGCAACTGCCGCACCGTGCCGCCCGCGCACGACCAGCACGACCAGCGGTTCCGCGAGCCCGTTCCGCCCCTCACCGAGACCGAGACCGCCCCCAGGATCTGGGACCGGCGGGAGCGGGGGCTGGCGTTGAGCCACGGCCTGGTGCTCAACACAAGGAAGCGGGCGCGGGTGCAGGACGCAGCCGAGGAGTTTGCCATCGGCGGCTGCCCTCAGAAGAAGCTAGACCTGGGCTTCCGCTTCTCTACCTAGGAAAAAGGTAACTTGGAGTGACGAACAGGATGTGCTGATGACCCAGCATTGACAGACTCTTGCCAAGATTGGATACTAGGCAAACAGGAAAGGAAGGAAAACGACAAAAAAGAGCATTAAGCATTTGACATTAAACATTTGATACAAACCCCAACGACGAGCAAGCAGGCTTGCCGCGTTGCGACATGAAGATAATTGGACATCAGAAGGATACAACGGCGCTAGCATGGTTCAGTTTAGCAATTAATTTCTTTTTTTTTATCGAATATGGCTACATGGTTGTTCTCGTGATCAGTCACCGTGATTTGTCCGGCAAATAAACGCAAGATTCCGTGATGATATTCCCCATGACGGGACAGCTGCCTTGAAGGCGTCACCCACAACTGTGCCTCGGACAAAGCCGAACCGATCGCTGTCCGAAAAGGGGAAGCCCTCGGCCGGTGACAGGGCCTCACCCCGACCCTGACAGCCGGCTAGCCCGCCCACCCCGTCCCGCCTGGCTTGGCGATGGGGGGTCGGCAATAGGCGGCGCGAGGCCCACACAGCAAAGCGCTTTAGCGAGGGCTGAGAGGATCCGGTCTGTACGGGTTCCCGCCGTTGCGCAGCGGCAAGTCCGATTTGCCTTCGCTCGCCCATGAGGGTGTGCTCCATGCCATGCCATGCCACCATCTAACAGGATGGGAGGGCTGCGGGGTTAGCTACAGGCAACAGCAGCAGCAGCGTGCAGCATCGTTTTCGTTTCGTGGAACCGCCCAACCGCCTGCTGGGGACGGATGGCTGACAGCTGTCCGATTGTCGGGAATTTGGGCCCAATCGAAGGAGGGAGGGGAAAGGCACCAGACGTGCATTTCGATCTCATGCGCAAGGCAAGCCGCATTTTCGGGACCGGCGCTTGCTAGTCGATTCCATTCTTTGTCTGAGGCCTAAGTTTAGCTGCAGTCGCGCGCACAGGACTCATGTATGAGGTGGCCTTTCTTTCATGGGAAGAAGGCGCTTGAGACAGCAGAAAACAAGGACGAAAGAGAAAGGGAGACACAACAGCCTCTTCACTAAAGGAATTGACATCTCTAAACAGCCCACTCTATCAAATCCAATCACGACGGGGGATCCCTCTGGTGTCTCGCCGATTGGAATCAGATATCAGAGTCATTAACAGCAGCACGGTGCGCACGCCCATCCACTATCCATACCACCCATACCACCCATACCACCCATGCCAGTCTTGGGGGTCCGTGGTCTAGCGGGTTCCGGCAGGCAGGTCCCCAGCTAATGCATTCCGGGTTCGATGCATTCGTCTAGCTGCAGCAGGCCCAGTCGATCGAGGTGAACAGGCACTGCAGGGCAGCGCGCCATCCATTCCTCGGCCAACCTCTCGCGCGAGCTGGATTCCCACCCCCAGTCTTGCAGCGTCAGCGTCCACTCCACGGCCCTTCCCTCGGTCTTCTCCGAAATATTCAATATCAAAAGACGGCGCCTGCGCTCCCCGGGATAAAACCAGCGAACACTTTCTCTGATTGGTTGGCATGGGAGCAGTGAAGGAAAACCAGCCGCCAAAAACCTTGCATCGCGCTGCTTGGCGAACATGCAATAACACCAGCTCATTGAGATATCACGACTGACGTCAGCCACCCCTTGTCCGCTCGCTATCTCCTTCTAGCCAACCTCTAGAAGGAGCTGTCGCATCTCACTTTCGGCCGACGCCCATCAAGCTGGGGAAACCTTGCGGTCTGCGCTGCTGAAAGACAGACCCCCAGGGGGGATAAGCTTTGGGAGCCAGCAAGAGAGCCGCCAGGGATCCGCCCGACAAGGTGGCACGATCGGCACCAGCACATCCTGCCACCCGCCGGGGATCGAAAAGGCGGTTCGCCATTCATATTGTTTCTGAAACCCGCACACACAGGCCTTTTTCGTTCCCGGGGACGCGGGACATATTTTGACGGAAGGGCCGGCGAGTGAGCAAACGGCTGCGCGCGTTGGGGGGTGGTGACAGGGCAGAGGGAAGAAGCTCCAACAACCCGGCTCAGCCTAGTCAAAGCCAGGCAGGCAGGGGTGGTCCAACGCAGCAAAGAAGCCGAAGGGAAGGCTGGTGCGTGGCTTAGCCAGGACAGGTCTGTGAGCTGGAGAAGCGGCGAGCAACAGCCGCCAAGCAGCACAACCTAGAAGAACCCTCATTGTTGTCTTGATCCATCGTCCGTCCTCCTTATTTCTCTTCATCTCGAAGCATTTTTGCCTTTTCTCCTCCTCCTGTTTCTCTCTCCAGCCCAACCTCCATCCTCTTCCTGCTCCTCCAGTTCTCCCTGCCCAACGCCCCGAACACCTTAAACCTAAACGTTTCCCGCCCGCCCAGGCCCACCATAGACCTCGCTCACCACGACCTATCGTCGCCCAGCTGTCTACATTGACCGAGACCCGACTTGAGGCGCGTTCGATTTTGCCGTCTCGGCGCGCTGCGCGGGCTCTATAAAGGAACATAAACCATACACCAAACAGACCCCTTGGTACCTGCTAGTACTACCGCCTGCAGCTCCACACAACTTGACGCACGCAATAAAAGCCCTCAGGGAGCTGGGCTGCTTCGCTGATCCGTGCCATGACCGTATGAAGACGAAAAGGAGGGAGC